TGTAGCCTCAGCCTCCTGGGTTCAAGTGATTCCCCTGCCTCAGCCACAGAGTAGCTGGGATTACAGGAGCCTACCACCATGCTTGGCTAATTTTTGTATTTTTAGTCAAGATGGGGTTTCACCATGTTGACCAGGCTGGTCTTGAACTCCTGACCTCAGGTGATCCACCAGCCTCCGCCTCCTAAAATGCTGGGATTACAGGCACGAGCCACTGTGCCTGGCCTTAAGGCAAAAATCTAATGGAGATTTCTAACCATGGGTCTGCTTGTTGCTTACAGATTACGCATAAGGCATAAACTAAGAAATTAAAAAATTGTTAGGAAAAGATGATGAGGTCACGATAGGTCTGAGATTTCTGAGGGCTGAGGGGTCATGGCTTTTTTATGTCTGTACCACAGCACACAGTGGGTGCACCGTAATGAACGAATGAATGGGCATGCAGTTAAAATAAGAACTTCTCACCAAAAAACAAAGCAAAACAAAACAAAACAAAAAAGTGTCAGTAAGCAGGATTTAATAGACAAACTTACTTTGGGGAGGTCAGAACAGGACTTTAGCACATGACCTTGCATTCATCAAAGTTAAAAAACAGGACAACGTCTCCTTCTTCGGGAACAAAAGCTTTGTGAGGTCATCAAGGTTCTGGCAAATGAACACCCCAGAGAGAGAGGCCGCTTACTTGCAAATGAAACCGCCACTTTCACATTTCCTTCTGGCATCTGTGTTCTCTGGGAAAAGCAGCTCGGGTCTGTGGAGAACATCCACGAGCACAGATAACTCTGCCTGCACCAGGGGCCTGAGACGGTCCTCCAGCGCGGAGACGATGTCCTAAAACGGAAACACAGCCTCAGTCAATGGCTCAAGGCAGACACTGACCACAGGAGAGTGAGGACACTGATTTCTCTAAAACACTGATGCACGGGTAGGCTAGGTTAGAGTAACTTTAGTATCGTCTGGCATCTCAAATTATTAGATATTGCCCAATGGTTACCTGAAACATTAGCCCCTGATGCAGAAAACAAAGTAAAAACAAGTCAACTTTCCCACCACCCCTTCTTTCAAGATGGCCTTATGCTACTCAACGTACCATTGCACATAGCTTAAAATATGATGCAAAAAATCAATTTAACAACATGGAAAGATGTCTATGACACGGGCGTAACAAAGGTCAAACAATAATAATCCTATTTTTATAAACATCATCAATAGCTAAAGGATAAACATCAAATATTATTAAAACATTACTACTGGTTTTCTCTGGGTGGTGGGATTACAGGTGATTCTAATTTTCTTCTATACAGAAATACTTGTCAGTGTTGTCTATTTTCAGTGAGCATGAATTATTCACATAATAAAAAGTCATACAAACATAAGGACACCAATGAATGAACATGCTGTATCAACATGCTAAATACATGTACCCTGATAGCATGATGGTCTTCAAATGCAAAACACATAGCTGTAGGAAAGGAAAACAGAGAGAAGTTGAAAGAGCAGCAAAACCAACACAACAAACACCATTTGAAGGCAAATGATAGAAAACAGATGAGAAATTATCTTCAAAAGATGCTAAAGTCTACTCTATGGTTTGGTGACTCGGAACCTGCCTAGAGGTATGTTGGTTAAGACAGGGGCCAAACACAGCACGTCGGATAATACAGGAAGGCCTGGTTAACCAAGGACATTTGCATGGGAAAAGCTGCTTAAATTGGGACCCAGTTGGGATTGAGAAAGAATTAACAAATCTTTTATCCAGAAACTAAAACTAACTATATGGAGATAATTTAATCTTAGATTTAACACAATTTGGGTGATGAATGTAATCACTCAATAAGGTTTAAGATGCATAAAGATACATGAATCAATCAAATAATTTTGAGTGGGGCAATTTTCCCAACAAGACTGTAAGACAGTACTTTGCAACATCCCTTAGTTCATATTGACTTTCACAGCACAGTCAAAAAAGGGTCATTTTTGGAAAATTCTGAGGATCTTATCAGTTCCCCACCATAGCATCCCTTTTGGAAGCACCCAGTCAATATTATCTTCAATAGTTAACTGATCTTGACTTTGGCAAATCTTTGTCTACAGTATTTCCATGGGATTAAAGTTGTTCTTATCATGTTCATGTATTTCATAAAATCCTGCATCTTTTGCACAGTTTGAACTTTACATTGCAATTGATTTGCATTGTATTGTCAAATGTATAGCATTCAGCAATCAAGGAGACACCAACAAAGATGGCAAAGCAATGGGAGGGGAAAGATGCTAGCTTTAAGTGAGAGGGATGTCTAGATGGGGATTAATTATAGAAGTGGTCAGTTTGCGAGTGAATTTCTTCTATTACAACTTTTGCTGTACTAGGCAATCTCATAAACCACAAGAACTCAGACAGTAAATAATTGGATAATGCAATCCTTTAAGCCACTGGCCAAGTCCTTAGAACAGTATTGCCCACCTATGTGTTTCATTTAATTTCCCAAGAATATGCATAATAAATCTAAAAAGAGCACAAGAAACCAGCATGTTTGATTGCAGATAGTTTATTTCATTTGAGCAGGTGAGAAAATACTGTGTGCTCATGGAGTTAGGAGTCTACAACATCCCTCCCCCTTTCTAAAAGCATAGTGGGATCAGGAAGCACTCAATCAGGAATCAAGAACTGGTTCTCTTTGTTATTTAAGAACTGGTTGTATTATGATAAAGGCTGAAATTCTTAACTTGACCCGAGAAGTCCCGCCAGCCTCCCCAGCTTCCTGGCTCCAGCCACACTAACCTTCCTTTGCTCATAAGAGCAGGGCTTCATAGGTCAAGTTAAGATGCATGTTTAAGTGTTTAACACCCATCTAATAATACTCACTACTCTCCGTTTTAACAAAGGGAGAGCAGATCTCTTGGTAGATGCTAAGAAAAAAAGGGATAACCTAGCTGGAATAGAGTAATATTTTTATTTTCATCTTCTTTTCTGTATAATGGTCTTTATACATGCTGTTTCCCTCCCTTTTATTCTTTAGGTCCTACTGTTCCTTCTCATCTTGGTTCAAACGTTACTTTCCTCAGCAAGGTCTTCCTTGACCCTCATCCCTAACCTCAAACAAAATTAGTTTCCTCATCAGAATCTTTCAAGGGCTCCTCACTTCTCTGCACTTCCCACTTGTCCCTTTCACCATTTTATATTTAAAATTAATGTCTCTTTTTCCTTTCCAATACTTGAAATACTATGAGACAAATAACATCATTTCTGGTTTTGGTGACCATTGTATTCCCAGAGCCTAGCATGGAGCTGATGAATGATTTAATGAATTCATCTGTCTTCAAGTAGGTTGTGTAACCATACAGAGACTCAGTAACTGCTACAGTCAGTAGTAAACAACAGTAATAAGAGTAATAATAATAACAGCAGCCCTCAACTGAGTGCTCACTACATGCCAGGCACTGCTCTATGTATTGTATGTGCGCTGTATTTTCCTAAGATGGCTATACCACAATATATCCTGTCTTGCATATTCTTCTTACAATATGACACTGACATCCCTCTCACTGAATGATGGCCTAGATTCCCTCCCCCTGAACTTGAGTGAACCTTTGAGACCACCTTGACCAACAGAGTACAGTAAAACTGACGCTATGTGACTTCTGAAGCTAGGTCATAACAACAATAAAGTTTTCACTTGTCTCTCTCCATACACACTCATCTTGGGACCTAGCTGCCATGGTGTCAGGAAGCCCAAGCTACATGGAGATGTTTCAGTCAACAACTCCAGCTGACGTCCCACCTGACAACCACCAACTGCCAAACATGTGAGTGAGCAAGGTGTCAAGATGAGTCCAACCACAGTCACCATCTGACTACAACCCCATGAAAAACTCTAAGCAAGAAATAGCTCACTGAGCCCTTCTGAGTCAACCTCCAGAAGAGCAAAAGAGAATAAAGTAAGCGTTGTGATTTGCTGCACAAAATACAGGTAACTGGGACATACTATCAACTCTCTTTAATTCTCACACCAACCCCATGAGGCAGGTGTCACTGTTTTACAGACTAGGAATCTGAAGGAACGAGAAGTCAAGTAACTTGCCCAAGAATACACCATTTCTAGGGGGCAGAGCCAGGATTTAAATTTAACCCAGGCACTAGCCTGAGACTACACTTTTAAACACTGCTTGCGGGCTCATTCAAAGGATCTGTGATTCTCAAACTGTGGTCTATGTACTACCTGTGAGAGCATCATCTGAGGTGCTTGTATAAAAAAGATGTTAACGTTAAGTGTTTAACATCTAATACTCTCTACTCTCCCCTTTAATAAAAGAAGAGCAGATGTCTTGGTAGATACTAAGAAAAAAGGTCTATAATCTAGCTGCAAGTAATACTTTTGTTTTCATCTGCCTCATTCTGATGTAAAATTCTTCTCTCAAGCATTACCACCCTTGTTCACCTGCTGATTCAAGAGGCTAAATAATCCCAGAGTGATGGAAAAAATGGAACATTTATGCTCTTATTCTAAACATCCTCTGTAATACTTCAATATTTCCTTCTAATAAGAGCAGAGTCCCGATTTTTCACCAAGAAATCTGCAAATCTAGGAGTAACCTTTAAAAACCATTACTTTTTCAGGAACTTTTCTACTTCTAAGTGACTTCCCACTCCTGGCCCTACATACACAACATTTGACTATTGGTTCACCACGCTGACATCTTCCTATGGCCCAGTTTAGATGCTCTCTGGCTCAAGAACACACTGCTGTGTGTGGCAGTCACCTGAGGCCAGGCTAAGCATCATTTCTCTCAACACCAGGCATTACCTGCAATCTCTCAATGATATTCCGGTAGTCTCTGGAAGCTGCCAGAACAGAGTCCCTGCGTGCGGCATTGCGGGCCGAGAGCCGCCAGTTCATGGCTGTTTTCTGCACAATGTTGTGGGACTTGAGAAAGAGGTTGTTGACTTGGCTGTCCAGGTCCACGGGAATGGCAATAGCCCGGCTCTTGGCTGTACAGGAGAAAGATGAGTCATGAGCCTACAATTTTTATGGGGGACACCCTACAGATGGACGTAATGCCCTATTCACCATTGGGCAGGTTTTTCACACCCAGAATGGGCCGGCTTGCCTAGTATTGAGCTTAAAGACTGAGGAGCTCAAGTCAACTTTACCATCTTTTAGGTCAGGGTTTCCCAGTGTGAATTCTGGGGGTCAGCAGTTCTGAGGAATGTTAAAACACTCTCAGGTCATAAGGCTAGGGCATGTCAGCGTTAAAGTTCAATGGGTTTCCTCAATGAATGGCTTCTTAGGGTCACTGAGGTGTTTGTGTATTTTAAGAATAATCAAGGCAGGGAACTCGTTTGGCCAATGAATCATTTGCTATTTTTCAGGTTTGTTCAACAATCTACAAAAATGCTGGGTTATCCCAAACATAATCCTAAAGGTAGCATTCACAATGGCATAAACTCCTTTTTCTGGATAGGTGCTTCTCTCTTCCTCTTAAAAAAGGAGAACTCCAATCTAAGCATGAGACAAACATCAGTCAAACCCATGATGGGAGATACTCTATAGGACTCCTGACCAGTACTTGTCAAGACTGTCAAAGTCATAAGAAATAAGGAAAGGCTGAGAAATGGTCACAGACCCGAAGAGACTGGGGAAACATGACAACCAAATGCAAGGTAGTGCCTGGACCAAATCCTGGAACAGAAAAAGGGTGTGACAAGGGACAGCAGTGGGAAAAGTGGTGAAATTTGAATCGAGTGTGGAGTTGAGGTAATAGCACCGTATCAGAGTCAGTTTCCTAGCCTTGACAAAGGTGCCCTGCTAACATAAGATGCTGACAATGGGTGACAAAGAGTGAGGGGTCTGTGGGAATTCTCTGTATTACCCTTGCTACAGTCCCATAAACCTAAAATTATTCCAAAATAAAAGATTTTGAAAAGGAAGATAATTAAGAGTAATAATCATTTTTTTCCATACGGGAAAATGTCCAAAAAAGAACTATTTCCTGTCTTCAATGCTTCAAAACACTAGAAGCAAAGAAAGTACTCTAGTATCTAATTGTAAAAACAACGCCAACATCCTGAAAGAGGAATCTGAGAAGCAATTACTTAAATCCCATTTAAAACACACACACACACACAATTTAGGGGGAAAAAAAACTATAAGCCAGCCAACAACTTTCTAACAGTCTAATACAGAAAGTGGGAAATTTGGAAAAATACAAATAATAAAAAATTAAAAAGCAGGATGTACAGGGTACACTCATCACAGCTAGAAACTCCGCGCCTTGGATACTCATAAGCTAAACAACTAACACAGTGGACTCTGGGTGTGGTATCAGTCATGAGAAAGCAATCCCCAAAAGACAGAGTGGGGACTCTGGGTAGTGCTGTTTTCATGTCTTACCATTTCATAGACATCAACCCTCCTTGTCTTTTTTCTTATCACCGCCAAGACAAATGGAAAGATTTCCCCTCTCTAATGAGCACTGAGCTGCTAGTCAAGTCAGCCACTTGCTAAAATATTAAACAAAAACTAACCTCTGACAAGGACTTTCTCTCACATTTCCTTTGGCCTCAACAAGCAGATCTTTTTTTTTTTTTTCCCCAACTTTTATCTTAGAATCAGGGGGTACACATGCAGGTTTGTTGCAAAGGTGTATTGCTTAATGCTGATCGAACCCATCACCCAGATAGAACACAGAGTACCCAACAGGTAGTTTTGTTTTTTTGAGACAGAGCCGTGCTCTTGTTGCCCAGGCTGGAGTGCCACCGGTGGTGTAATCTCAGCTCACCACAACCTCTGCCTCCCAGGTTCAAGCAATTCTCCTGCCTCAGCCTCCTGAGTAACTGCGATTACAGGCATGCGCCACCATGCCAGGCTAATTTTGTATTTTTAGTAGAGACGGGGTTTCTCCATGTTGGTCAGGCTGGTCTTGAACTCCCAACCTCAGGTGATCTGCCTGTTTCAGTCTCCCAAAGTGCTGGGATTACAGGTGTAAGCCACCGCGCCCAGCACCCAACAGGTAGTTTTCCAGCCCTTTTCCCCTTTCCCCCTCTAGTATTCCCCCATCTTTACATCCATGTGGACCCAATATTTAGCTCCCACTTTTAAGTGAGAATGTGTGGTATTTGGCTTTCTACTTTCACGTTAGTTCACCAAGTACATTCTTTATGATAGATAATCGTGTATGGAAAAAGTATAGGATTATCTGGGAATTCCCTTGCAGGGCCCTGTTTCTAAGATACAACCCAACGAACCTGTCATGTATATATTTTCCAAAACCTAATTTATGACTGCAAAATACTGCCACACCAATAATAAAAAGACATCAACACCCACCACATGAGAGTAAAAGAACTGGGCCAGAGACTACTGAAATTAGGCAACAGGTCCTAATATAGATTATACATATCTCCCAAGGTATATCCAAACTGACTTGATATCTTACCTACACAATTGACACTTGCTGGACAGCCACTAAATAGTACTAAGAACTACACCTGTTTTGCTCTTCTTGTTACCTGCCTGGAGGACTCTCTTCTTAACTTCAGACAAGAAGCTTACCTCTTTGCACAGCATTAATAGGGGGTGGGGAATGGGTCAAGTCATGGAATCCGATAAAGTCAGGATGAAGGAAAAAGAAATTTTCCCAACTTCCTTTCAAAGGCTGCCTATGAGTGGTGGTACAGGAGGGGAGTCACAGAGGAAATGGAGAATCATTTCTCCTCAAGGGGAAGAAGGGAGCAGTGCACCATTTCTGAGAAAGGGTGTTCCTTAGGATGTGACAGGTGCTTTCCAGGAAAAAGTTTCCATATGGTCAAGTACATTTGCTGGATTAAACAAATTAGTTTCTTGAATGAGGGACTTCCCAGGGCCTTGAAAAAGCTGTGTGTATTGTGACTTGCCAAGAATTGCCTAACAACCACGGAAGCTTGTTCTTCGAGGCCTATCTGCCTTAGGACTCACTGGCTCTTCCTTTGGGAAATGCTGGCTTGGTAGATAAAAAAAAGAAGCCCAGCAATCAAGAAGACTTTGGTTCCAGGTCTGACTCTGAAACTTCCTGTCTGTGTAACTTTAGAAGAGTTGTAATGAGTGCTCAATAAATGGCAGCCTTACCACTGTCAGACAATTCATTTTCATCACGTATATCCAAACTGACTTGGTATCTTACCTACATCAGACAGCACCCGAATACAGCTCTCCACGGAGGCTTTTTGGCTTGGCATTAACCAGTTGCAGTGGTAAACTCTGAACACTCCTTGCAGCAGTTGCACAAAGACAGGCTGGCGAGTCTGCAAGAAGCCGAAAGAGGCAATGTGAATAACAGACTTTTATTTATAGACTACTGATGATCTGATCAGAGATAGACATTGTCTTGAACCACAAGACCCCAGACCCGAGATAGACATTGTTGTTAATGGACCCTGAGGCAAGTGTGAGAGGAGATGCCTGGATAAGAGCTAAATTCCAGAAGTTACCTAGCCAAGGGAGAGCAATTCAGAAGCATTTTAGGGCAATGCATTAACTTGATGCTATTTTAACTAAGTTTGAGCACAAGAAGGAGCAATGGATCCACAATTCAAAGACTGGTATTCTTATCCAGTTACCAAGCAGCTGCATGACTTTAAGCAAAATTACTTCACCTCTCTGAGCTCCAGCTTCATCCAATGTATAAAATAAGTGGATTGAGGCAGATGGACCCCAAAGTTCCTTCCAGACATTATATCTATTGAGTAGAACCCATATTTTAAATCAGCAAAAACAAACTGATAAGTGAATCTCACCTAGAATGCTACTTCTTTATTTCTGGCAAGGTCTTCAACGACATAAAGAGAATTCAGATGGTTACTCTTTATAAATATTCATTTATTATGATGAGTATTAAGAAGTTATTGATGTATTCAGAAGTTATCTTCATGAGAAGATTTATTCCTTTCCACAAAGGTATAAATTTGTACTCATTTTAAAGTAAGAGTACTCAAACATCCACTGAATCAATTTGACACTGACTTTCTGAGTACATGAAAAAATTATAGTTTTGGTCTCCATTCAAAGGGTAGCTTTGGACCAGCAAGGCAAAGATAGATAGCCGCGTATGCTGCACTATTCAACTGGTCTTTCATTTGAGAGGAGACAACTTGCATAGCCCCTCTAAAAACAGTGGAAGTTAATATAGTAAAGAAAAAAGTATTGAAAACCCCAAAAGAGATCTCTGAGATGAAAGAAAACAAAGTGTCAGGGGAAAAAGGAAGTCTATTATAAGAAAATAAAATAGATTAATTAAAAATTCAGAACCTCCCTGATAAACATGGTTCAGATAACTTTCATTTATTAAGGGCAAACTATGTGTGAGACATTTCACGTATGATCTCGTTCAGGCCTCAGTGAATAATTCGGTGACTTGGAATTACCTTCCCGTCACACATGAAAAACAAAGACCCAGCAAAAATAAAAGAAATTATCCAAAAGAAAAGAGAAGTGATGGCAAAGCAGGAAGTGAACTGCAAGGGTCCCTCTGATGGCAAACCTCCATGTTCTTTCCATGAAGTTCACCTGGGAGCCAGAATCTCATTGCCTTCTTTCTGTCCTACTCCCTGCAGCCACCTAAGATAGTAAGCTGTGTTCCTAATAGAGGACAGGAGCAGAGGGAGCCTGGCAAACTGGCTGGGGGAACCTAGAATTTAGTCCGAGTTTTGTGGCTGCTCGTTAGCTCTGAAGCTAACTCAAAGGGCCCAATGAGAATGGTCGTTTACCCCAAGCACTTCCTACATGCCAAGCTCTGTGCTAAGCACTTTATACATATCTCATTTAGCCTTCACTATCACCCTGTGAAGTAAGCAGTGGCATTATTACCTGCCCTATTAGCCAGTAAGTGCTGGATTTGGGATGGGAACCCAGTAACCCAGCTCAAAGAAAGAAGTATCCCTAGACTAAAATAACTCCACCGAACCCTATTCCTGGAACACCTGCTCTGCTCCTATTTGACACCTCGGTGTACAAAAGATGATTAAATGGATAAGAGTAGCTGCCTACTAACTATCCAAATGCAATGGGCAATCAGGTGGGATATGGTTTGACTGTGTCCCTACCCAAATTTCATCTTGAATTGTAGCTCCTACAATTTCCACATGTTGTGGGAGGGACCTGGTGGGAGGTAACTGAATCATGGGGTGGGTCTTTCCCATGCTGTTCTCGTGATAGTGAATGAGTCTTGCAAGATCTGATGGTTTTATAAAGCAGAGTTTCCCTGCACAAGTTCTCTTCTCTAGTCTGCTGCCATGTGGACATACCCTTCACCGTCTACCATGACTGTGAGGCCTCCCCAGCCACATGGAACTGTGAGTCCACTAAACCTCTTTCTTTTGTAAATTGCCTAGTCTTGGGTATGTCTTTATCAGCAGTGTGAAAATGGACTAATACAGGTGACATCAGCTCACTCAACCTCTTGGAAGAGCAAAAGGACATGATGGCTCATCATCTGCTTTTTTCCTAAAATCCTCCCCTTTCTTCATTCCTGAGGTCCCACAGACTCCCAAATCACACCCTGCCTGCATGAAAACTCCTGACCTTCCTCTGCCTCTTTCACATCCCATCATCCATTATTTGTGTCCTCTCCAGGTCCCTTTTCATTTACCACTTCATTTTCCTAGCTAAGGCTTCAACCAGTACATGTTTATCTCTGATCTCTACTGCTCTCCTGAGTCTCATTTATTCATTTGTTCAATAAATTAGCAACTTGTTGCCAGTCACAATGCCAGGTACAAGGGATAGACTAGTATATGAGATGATCATGCACATAAGGCATAACTTTGTCCTCATGTAGCTTATAGTCTAACAGAAATAGCACAGGCTACCATTTATTAAGCACCTACTCTGTGTTAGGCACTGTGCTAGATGTTTTATAAATGTTATCTCTAGAATTGGAGGGCAGGGAAGGAGAAGACTGAAGGACCAAAATAAAAAAAAAAAAAGCAGAAAAGATTTTAAGGAGATTGTTGATTTTAAAATCAACAATTAACAGAACCATCCAGTACAAGAAAATATCCCCAGGTACTTCTTTAGCCAAGAAATCCCATCAAAGCTACCTTCCACCAAGAGAAATGTATCTTTTATTAATGCTTTGTAGACCAGTTCATTTATAGTTGCTCACCCCCAAATTCACATCTTGCCCAACTGCCAAAGGTGTATCATGAACATTCTGCTTGACATTGGTATTTATTACCTGCAAAGTAGTACTCTGGTCTGAGAAGGGAGAGCTGAAGAAAGTAGTAACAATACTCATGACGATTTCGGTGACGTACTTCTCCAAAATGGAGTCTGCATGTTTCCTGTCACTAGTGTTGTTACAGGCCTGGAAGACAAGTGGGTATGTTAAGCATGACACCAAAACCTACATCAAACATTAAGAAATCTGTGACTCCCTCCTGTGGGTTACTTTTAACAAATGAAAGGGAAAGGCCTGCTGGCCAATATTTCTCCCCTTAAGGAATCACAATAATAAAATATAAATCATGAAAAGAAGAAAAGCAGATCAGCTCAGACAACATGAAGCAAAATCACAAACATTAAAATGGGTATGAGACCAACAAGGCCACCACTTGCAACTTCCTACGTGTCTGGAAAATCCAAAACCCTGAAGGGCAGTAAGAAGCACAGTCACTACAGGTGTCTTAAATTTCCCATAAAAGAAAACTGCTCTCCTGAGTAATCCATTCCTCTGGTCTAGACCATGGTTTCCTTATCCAAATAATCAAGACAGTCAAATACGTTACTGAGGTCCTATGGACCTGACCGTCTCCAATCCTTTTTTATTTTATTTTATTTTTTTTGAGACAGAGTCTCACTCTGTCACCCAGGATGGAGTACAGTGGCGTGATCTTGGCTCACTGCAGCCTTCATTTCCCAGGTTCAAGCGATTCTCGTGCCTCAGCCTCCCAAGTAGCTGGGATTAGAGGTGCCCGCCACCATGCCCAGCTAATTTTTGTGTTTTTTTTAGTAGATATAGGGTTTCACCACGTTGGCCAGGCTAGTCTCGAACTCCTGGACTCAAGGGATCTGCCCACCTAGGCCTCCCAAAGTACTGGGATTACAGGTGTGAGCCACTACGCCTGGCCTAACCATGCTCCAATCCTACAACAATCTTCCATTCAATTAAAATCTTACCAATACACAACATTGTTCAAAATAGCAAGCCATATTTCAGAATAGCTGACTATACATGTTTTGGGGTGAGGAGACACCTTCAGTTTCACCCATACTCTACTTAAGTCTGCCGCCTAGAATAAGATTTGCCATGGAGACGGTTAGCACATTTTTTAAAAAATCAAGTTTTATAATTTAAGATATAAAATTGCTTATACTGAAAAGAATGAAGGACATAAAAATCAAGTGTTCTTAAGAGACTCTCACGTTCTGACCTTAAAACTAGACAGTCTGAGAACATATTCAAAGAATGAAATTAACAACTGATTTTACAGCATTTCTAAGTAATTTAATGAAAAGATCGGCAAAATAAGGGCCAGTAATTATCTTTATAAAGTTTTATTGGAACACAGCCAAACCCGCTTGCCATGACTACTTTCACGCTAGAAGGGCAGAACTGAGTAGTCATGAAAGAGATGAATGGCCCACAAAGCTGAACATATTTACTATCTGGTCCTTTACAGAAAATTTCAGAGCACTGGTTTAAAGAAATAAAGCAGGCCTGCCATTCCAAGCCAAAATCCCTAGGCTAATGGGATTAAAAAACTAGGAGGAGTTTGAGATTTTTTAAAAAACATGTCTGTGAAACCAACACCTGACCAAATATTACTAAATAGGGTTCTCATCCAGAAGGAAAATAAGTTCTTACAGGCTCCTTGTCTCATACTAGCAATCATACAGTCAAGCAGAAAATACCACATTCTAGGATTCTATAATGCACCTTAACATCACAATGTTTCTGAAATTGGGATGTATCTGACAATTATCTTCTAAATAATCTTTTAATCTACCCCACTCCCCCAAATCCACCATCACAAAACTCATATTCAATCTGTCGTATGCTTTGCTATGTGGCAGTCTTGTGGCTTTAGCATGAATATTAAGCTCAGTGCAAAACCAAATCAAGTATCTTGAAGGCCACTCTTGAGGCTGAGCCAGGAAAGCAATAAATGGAAGGTGAAGAGTTTTGCAGAATCCTCAAGACCAGATTGCAGGAGACAAATGCTCAAGCTCAGGGAAGTGCCCTTCAAGCACAGACATATTACCAAGGAAGATAAATCCTTAGAAATTGAATTTTAATATGCCCAAGTTATCACTCACCAACCAATCCACAGGGGTGACATGAAAACCAGAAATAACCTCTCTTCCCTGAAGCTTGATAAATAATATCCATTCGTGGCTAAGAGCAAAAGGTAGGAAGAATGGCCAGGTGTGGTGGCTCACGCTTGTAATCCCAGCACTTTGGGAGGCTGAGGTGGGCAGATCATTTGAGGTCAGGAGTTCGAGACCAGCCTGGTCAACATGGTAAAACCCTGTTTCTACTAAAAACACAAAAATTAGCCAGGCATGGTGGCAGGTGCTTGTAATCCCAGCTACTCGGGAGGCTGAGGCAGGAGAATTGCTTGAGCCCAGGAGGCAGAGGTTGCAGTGAACTGAGATTGTGCCACTGCACTCCATCCTAGGTGACAGAGCAAGACTCCATCTCAAAGGGAAAAAAAAAAAGGAAGAAATGAGACATGAGAAAAGAGTCACAAGTGCCTCTTCATGCCACGAATTAGAGTAGAAATGATGCAGCTGTTTTCTTCATGTGGGCATGAAGATGTTACACACACATACACATACACACACACACACACACACCTCTCTCACTCTCCAACTCTGCCTCCTTAGTTCCAAAAGCCTTACCCTGCAGATGTCTACAAGGAAATTCTCAAACAGTTTCCACATGTGATTGCTGGTGTAAATCTCCTTCATTTCCACCTCTGTGTCCACATAGCAGTGATTCAGGAAGTTAATGTATGCAATTTTAACCTGCAAGATAGAAAGAAGCTTTTCTGAAAAACTATCTTGGTGTGTATGGAACGTGATTAGCTGCTTCAACTTCACAGCAAGAAGGACAGATCAAAATGGGCATCCCATTCCCCACTGCCAAGTCTTACTTCTATGATTTTCTGAAGTTTGAAATTCACAATTATAAAATCCAAAACCATAAAGCTTTTGGAAGAGAATATGTTCATGACCTCAAGGGAAAGAATGAGGTAAAACCTCTGACCATAGAAGAGGGACAAGTTTGATTACCTGAAATTAAGAATTTCCATTCATAAAAAGGCACCACTGGAGAGTTAAATGGGCACAAGTTGGGAGAATATACATGCAAGGCATGTTCCAATGAAGAATGCCCCTAGATCTGTGCTTATAAGACAGACATCCCCAGAGAAAAGGGAGGCAAAAAACTGGATCAGATATTTCTTAAAGGAATATCAAACATCAAACACACACACACACACATACACACACACACACACACACACGGCAAGAGGCTCAACTTCAATTAGGAATCAAGGAGATAGACATTAAAATCACTATGGTTAATGAAAACATGTGTCTATACAAAATCCCGTACACAAGTGTGCATAGCAACATTATTCACAATAGTCAAAAAGTGGAAACAATCCAAATCCCCATCAACTGACTGATGGACACACAAAATGTGATGTACGTACAGAATAGAAAATTACTCCGCAACATAAAGGAACGAAGTGCTGATACATGCTACAACTTGCGTGAGCCTTGAGAAAAATCATGTAGGTGAAAAAATCCAGTTGTAAAAGACCACATGTTGCAGGATTCCATGAAATGTCTCAAATAGGCAAATCCATATATTCAGAAAGATGAGCAGTTGCCTAGGATTGGGGGGTTGGCAGGAAATGGGAAGTGACTGCTAATGGGCACGGGGTTTCTTTTTGGGATGATGAAAATATTCTGTAACTACATTGTGATGGTGATTGCACAACTCTGTGAATATATTAAAAACCACTCAATTGTACACTTTAAATAAGTGAATCATATCTGCAAATATCTCCATGAAGCTTCTAAAAATTAAGCTAGTATGCAATGCTATTATACAACCATCAAATTGAAAAAAAAATAATAAAGGATCTGATGATAGCAAATGTTAGCAGGGTTGGGAGGAGGAATGGTAACTGGAGCAACTATGCTGAAACCAACTGGACTGTGTTACATCACATTGAAGAAATGCACCGCCTATGATCCAGCACTTCCACTTCTGACTATCCACACACCCTGGACAGAAGTGTACACGTGTGGGCCAGGATGTATGCCTGATCCTAACAGCCAAAAGCTGGAAACAACTAAAACGAGCATCAGTAGAAGAATGGAAAATCCTATCATGGTGCCATGATAGAAAGGAATGCGTCAAAACAAAGGAAATGGATACAGCTACATGTCAGGGTGGATCAACCTTAACAACACAGAGCTGAACTTAAAAAGGCATGGAATGATACACAGAAGAAGTCCAAAACCTCACAAAACTAAACTATATTGTTGAGGGATGTATACAGAAAAGCAATTGCAGGATTACATAAAAGTCAGCTTGTGGTTATCCTCAGGAGACAGCCCTTGGGGGAGGTGAGGACAGGAAAGGGGAATGGGGGAGGTTTTTGTATATTTCTTGACCTGGGTGGCAATTACAAAGCTGTTCTCTTTATAATCGTTCTATTGTTCTTTAGTATACAATTGAGATTTTTGTACTTTTTTTGCATTTCTATTGTATTTCAAACAAAAAAGGGTAAAAAACAAACTAATGCTTGTTATAACACTATGCTTCTCTCATCCCTAATGCTAGTTATAACTCTACCTTCTTTATCCGTAACAAGAGAAATGTAAATTAAAACTATGTTGAAATGACCATTTTCACCTGCCAGATATATGAGAATCCAAAAGTTTGATAATATACTGTGGCCAAGACTGTGAAAAAAATGCAATCTCATTGCTTTCTTATTACAGTGATTATTCATTACTATCTCATTATATCATAAATTAGTTAAACACTTACAAAGGGCCATGATGGTACATCCATACAATGGAATTTCATGCAACTGTAAAAACAATCTGGCATCTCTTTATGAACTGATATGAAAAGAAGTTACAGTGTTAAGGTACAGAATTGTGTACCTAAAGTATCATCTTTTGAATTTAAAAAAACGGTGGGGGGGAGTAAAGTATATATAATGTATGCGTTTATGTGCAAAATTCTAGAAAAATACACAAGAACATAATAAATTATTTTCTGTACGGTGGGTGGGAAAACAGATTATAAGACTTCATGGTTTACCCCTTTACAGTCCTTGATTTTTGAACTTTTCAAAGAGTATGGTCAGGTACTGAATAATGACATTTTGGTCAATGATGGGTCTCATACACAACAGGGACCCATAAGATTATAATACCCAATTTTTACTGGAACTTTTCAATGTTTAGATACACAAATACAATTGTGTTATAATTGCCTTCAGTACTGAGACAGTCACATGTTGTGCATGTTTGTAGCCTGGGAGCAAGAGGCCGGACCATAGAGCCGGGGTGTGTAGCAGGCTGTGCCATCTAGGTTTGCGTAAGTGCGCTGTTCGATGTTTGCACAATGAGGAAATCAACTAAGAATGCATTTCTCAAAACATATCCCCACCACTAAGTGACACATGACTGTTACTAGCTTTTCAAAAAAACCTAAAAGCAATATATATATGTCATATATATTTAATGTAATATAAATGTGTACTACAAACTAACATTACACATTGCAAAACATACAATATATACTTTACAATATACTTTATATATCATAAAATATATACTTTATAAATCATAAAATATATACTTTACAATCCATTTCATTATTAATCAATATAATCTATGAGTAGGAAAAAAGGAAGCCTGGAAGGGTTAACTTGAAAACTTAGGGATTCATTATTATTATTTTTTAATTGATTGTCTGTAGTTCCTAAATTTTTATAATGGCCATTATTTCTGTAGTAAGGGATTTTGTTTTAAAGAATTAACTTACTAAGTCTTACAATCATACGATCTGGATCTCAACCTACTTTTCGTCACATTTTTGAGAAGTTCATTCAGGTCACATCCCCTTTGCTCAACAGGCTAAATTAGATCCACAGAGCTGAAGCTTTTTTCCTCACTCTTCTTAAAGATACAGAAGGAATGACTAACTTCTCCCATGTTCCTTTCATGTAAAATCAATGCTCGAGAACATGTTTTAGGGAACCGAAATCCCACTACAAAATGAGCTGCAGCTTTCAGAACCGTCAGGGCTCCCCCAGGCCAGCCACCACTATGTCTCCCAGTGAGCCACGACAGCAGGCACCACATAGGGACGAGAAGGGCACAGCCAGGCTGGGCTCGCTCACCTCAGGGATGCAGTCCTCATGGGTCACCACGCGAACGATGTCATCCAGCGGGAGCAGGGAGTTGCATTTGATCTCTGTGTAGACGTTCTTACCCTCCGTGCACACAGCCAGAAGCTCGACCAAGTGGATGTGGTACATGAGAGGGCTGTTCTCATCCATCCGATCCCGCTCTGACCGCATCATCTGGATCAGAGTCTGGAAAGAGGCTCTGTCGTTGTAGAACACGAGGACATCCTCTCCTGAATTGACCAGCTACATAAAGAACAGGGTGGGTTTAGATTACAAGCTTGCAGGGGTGGGGCAGCATGAAAAAATTCTATCCACAGAGAAAGAGAGAGGTTCTGTTAGCATTTATCTTCCCAAATCAGTCTTACCTATTTTGACTTCATTCATTTATATAACTGAACAACTAGAAATCTTCGGCATCATAATTTTAGTCCACAGATACAGAAATACCACACAGGCCCTAAAAAGCTATTAGGGGGAGAGAAAGTCTGCATACCAGCATTAATGTATCAAGTGGAAATAGAGATTGCAAGCTTGCACTTGTATTTCCAAAACTACCAATTAGGCTATGATATTTCTTTTTAAATGTTTCCATCTTATTATTATTATTATTTTTTTCCGAGATGGAGTTTCACTCGTGTTGCCCAGGCTGGAGTGCAATGGCGTGATCTCGGCTCACTGCAACCTCTGCCTCTCGGGTTGGTTCAAGCAATTCTCCTGCTTCAGCCTCCTGAGTAGCTGGGATTACAGGGATGCACCACCACGTCTGGCTAATTTTGTATTTTCAGTAGAGACGGGGTTTCTCCATGTTGGCTAGGCTGGTCTCGAACTCTCAACCTCACGTGATTCACCCGCCTAGGCCTCCCAAAGTGCTGGGATTATAGGTATGAGCCAGTGTGCCCTGCCTCCATCTTATTTTTATGCTTTACAATGTATCCCCTTTAAAATTCTTTAATCTGCCGTCGTATCTCTTCAATCACAAATTACTTTTAATTAAGATATGCCTTCCTCTCCACACTTACTCTTCAAAAAGTTGAGGCATTCCTGTTTATAACTTGTCCCCTAAGATGTGGCTTCTTGCGAATCTATTTAAGAATAAATCAGGCCGGGTGCGGTGGCTCAAGCCTGTAATCCCAGCACTTTGGGAGGCCGAGGCGGGCGGATCACAAGGTCAGGAGATCGAGACCATCCTGGCTAACACGGTGAAACCCCGTCTCTACTAAAAACACAAAAAACTAGCCGGGCGAGGTGGCGGGCGCCTGTAGTCCCAGCTACTCGGGAGGCTGAGGCAGGAAAATGGCGTAAACCCAGGAGGCGGAGCTTGCAGTGAGCCGAGATCGTGCCACTGCACTCCAGCCTGGGCAACAGAGCAAGACTCCGTCTCAAAAAAAAAAAAAAAAAGAATAAATCAATTTCATCAGCAGTACATGAAGTACAAAAAAACTGAGAGGGCTGGCACAGAAGTCAAAATAAACACGGTCAATACTTACTAATGACTAACCTGTATGAGCTCTAATTATTAGATGCCAGATACCAAGATAAACTCTTTAGATGAACTTCCTAACCTCACTGTATCTCAGTTTCTTCATCTGTGAAACCGGGACAAATACAATAGCTAACTCACAGTACTATGTATATTAAATAAATTATTATAGACAAATTGCTTAGGACGGTGCCTAGACTATGGCAGGCTTCCAAAAAGTGTTAGGCATTAATGTCATCGTTATCTCATTTACTCCGCATATCAACTCTTTAAAGTGAAATCTGCTGTATCTTCATTTTATAGAAAAGTTCACTGAGGAGTTGAGAGGTCAAGTAACATATCTCATGGCACCCTTCGGTGAAGGGGTTCAGGTGACATTTGTATCCCAGGTTGAGCCGACTCTCTTTTTTTTTCTAAGAGACAATGTCTCATTCTTTTGCCCAGGCTGGAGTATAGTAGGTGCCATCATAGCTCACTGCAGCCTCAAACTTCTGGGCTCAAGGGATCTTCCTCTGTAACTCGGACTACAGGCACATGCCACTACACTCAGTTAATTTTTAAAATTTTTTGTAGAAACAAGGGTCTTACTATGTTGCCCAGGCTGGTCTCATACTCCTGGCCTCAAGTGATCCTCCTGCCTCAGTGTCCCAAAGAGCTGGGATTACAGGCATGAGCCACCATGCTGGCCCCAACTCTTAATCACACTACCCTCCCTGCCAATGGAACCACATACATAGACAAGATTGTAAATTAAAGTGAATCCATAATAAACCAAGTAAGACTTTTCCTTGATTGCATAGACCAACTGCTCCTCAAGAAACATCAGGCAAAATTTTTTCAATCTAACTAATTATGTGAAAAATTTTAAAAAATTCATAATCCACACGAATGGAATGTTCTGGCTCATTGGGTCCTCACTACATTTTATCTCCATTCTCTATAATTCAGTTCCTTATTCCTCTTTCTGTCCCCTGTCAGAAAAATCCAAGCCATCCTTCCTTAGAGCAAACTGGTTGCTATGAAATATCAGATCAGATTCTTGCCTATATCTACAACTTAAGCTCACACAAGGGATGACACACACATATGCACACACAATTACTTTCTGTCCTTCTGTATGGCTCCTGAAGAGGGTGCAAGTTCATACAGATAAGATTAAATAATTGTAAAATTTCTACAGAACACCAGATGGAGGTATATAGAATATATAACAATCACCTCAGCCATAACCATGTCTTGGCATTTTTTAATAAATTTCCCTTCTGCCTTGACAATTGTCTGTAAGAACTTTATATACTGGACGTTCCGACCGTGAGTCTCTATGCAGTGAACGAAGTGCTGAACGACTCTCTCGTTGATCTCACTGCAAAGCTGGAAATTGTTCATGAAGATGTGCTGCATGGTTACTGCCTCCAGGATCTGACACAAGAGTGAGGAAAAGAGCACAGGGACAGGTCAAAAAGCTGATAGAACAGATTAAAAAGTGAGAAAAAGAAGAGTCCACTGAAAACACACACAAGGGAAGCATTTAAACCCACGAAGATAGATTTCTCTCATTCTTGCTTCTGCACTACCTTTTTAGTAAGCTTTTTTCACTGACATACAAATAAACATACAGAAAAATACACAACTCATTAGCATTCAGTTGAACAGATTACAAAGGGACCTTGAGCACCCAGATCATGAAACAAAACAGGTCTCCTTTATGCCTTATCTCACAATTTAACTACTATTTTGACTTGTATAACTAGATTAGTTTTGCCTGTTCTTAAACCTCTTGCACTCTTTTTCACTGATATATAAGTTCCATTGCATGAATATATGACAATATCTTTATTCTATGGTTGAAGGATATTTGGAGTAGGATCCAGTTTTAATAGATAGAAACATTACTAGTATTATAAATACTAGAGTTGCTGTGAACATTCTTACAGATGCCTTCTGGTGTACTTAAATTCATACTTCTGTTGGGTCCAAGAATAGAATTGCTGGGTCACAAAGTATGAGTATGATTGGCTTTAGAAGATACTGACAGCTTTCAAAAGATGTTAACAACTTGCATTCTACATTCCAGCTGTTCCTATCCTCGTCAACACTTAGTATTGTCAGTTTTTAAATTTTAGTCACAGCTTACTGTGGCTAAACATAACTTAATTTGCATTTCTCTAATGTCTAATCATGTTGAACACTTTGTCACATTTATTGGCCATTTGGATATCCTCTCCAACAGGGTGTCTGTTCCAGTTTTTTGCCTTTACATTCTTATTTATTTATTTATTTATTTGAGATAGAGTCTTGCTCTGTCACCCAGGCTGGAGTGCAGTGGTGCAATCTTGGCTCACTGCAACCTCCACCTCCTGAGTTCAAGCTATTTTCCTGCCTCAGCCTCCAAGTAGCTGGAATTACAGGTGCTCACCATCATACCGAGCTAATTTTTGTATTTTTAATAGAAACAAGGTTTCACCATGTTGGCCAGGCTGGTCTCAAACTCCTGACCTCAAGTGATCTGCATGCCTTGGCCTCCCAAAGTGCTAGGATTATAGGCATGAGCCACCACACCTGGCCTATTTTTAAAAGGTCAACCTTTTCCTTAGTGACTTTTTTGAGTGTGTTATGTATATTCTGGATATGAATTCTTTGTTGAGAACGTGCATTGCAAATGTCTCTTACTCTCTGCCTTGCCTTTGGATGCTCTTAATGGTGTCAGTGGACAAACAGAAGTTCTTAAAAGAAGTCCAATTTATCAATTTTCAAAAATAATTAGTGTTCTTTGCATACCTTGTAAGAAAATTTTGCTTACCACACAGCCATGCATACTACCTTCTAGAAGGTTTATTTTTCACTTTTTACCCACAGTTATTGAGTTTTATGTTTGGGGTGAGGTGGAGGATTTAATCCTTTTATCTTTTGACTTTTCTTTCTTTTAACATGACACCAAGGGAACACAGGTTGAGTATCTCTTATCCAAAATGCTTGGGAGCACAAGGGTTTCACATTTTGGATTTGGGAATATTTGCATTATAGTCTCCTGGTTGAGCATCCCAAATCCAAACATCTAAAATCTGAAATGCTCCAATGAGTATTTCCTTTGCGCATCACACTGGCACTCAGAAGTTTTGAATTCTGGAGCATTTCAGATTTCAGATTTTCAGATCTGGGATACTCAACCTATATTATCCTACAATTCAGCACTCCTTTTCCTGGAAAGTGTTAGCAGTACTACTGAGTGAGTGTGCGCATGCACAAAGATGTCCTTTGCAGTACTGTTTACAAAGCTAAAAATCAGACATTGCCTAACTGTCCATTAATATAAGAATGGTTTTTTAAAAGTTACAGCCATTCTATGGAATGTCATTTAGCCATCAAAAGAATGAGAAAAATTTATATCTCTCTGGTTTGCAAAGGCAGCCATAATGTGTTAAGTGAGAAAAGCAGAACACAAGACAATGTGTAGAGTGCATCATTTTTCTTTACAAAACCTATAATACATTTAATATACTTTCAGAAATATATTTAACAAACTAAGATGTATTATAGATATGTTTGATATGGAGATACTATATATGTATATATAGCCACAGAAAACTTTATGCATGACTTCAGGAAGATGTGGCAGGAGAGAGATTCAGCACCTCTGTATTGCTGAAGTTTGATATGATGAAGGACTTGACTAGGAAAATAAAAATATGTATCTTACTTTATCCATCTCACCTTCCTCCTTTTCCCCTCCCAAACTCCTGCCATTCCATCCCCAAAAGATGAGTATTTATGTCCTCCTGATAAATTATGAAAATGTTCCCCTTTGGAATGAATGTTGCATTATAACAAGCCCCAGAAGCCACAATAGCCAAAGAACAAGCTGTTCCTCCTCCCTCTTCCCTGCCCTCCTCCCTCTACAGATTTGCAGACTGGCCTCAAGTCTTACCCCTGGGTTGAGAAACAGGTTTATGTGTTTATGTAGCAAAGCTTGATTCTGCTGGTTGCCTGCACAGAAATTCTGCAAAAATTCATGAGCCAGCCTCATTATCTCTTGCATCTTGGTATCTTCGGCCTGTGTGGGAGGAGAGAGATGAAAGCACTGATTGCTGGGCCAGGAGATCAGCTTCTCGTATACCCAACACCTCCTGCTAACATGGGAGTCAGAAGGTGTTTGCTGGGGGCCTGTTGTGGGTAAATATTGAGGGGCTGCACTGCTGACCCTGAAAAGAAGCCAATAACTTGTCTATGCTCACTGATGAAAGTGAAGATCTTATTTGGGTGGGAGGGAGCACTGCAGAGTGAAGGCTAATAGAAGGCATCCACAAGTCCATTATCCAGCAAGGACTGAAACTTCTGAACCCCCTACTTCTAAAGACAGGGACTGGCTGGGCACAGTGGCTCATACCTGTAATCCTACCCCTTTGGATGGATCACTAGAGGGCAGGAGTTTGAGAACAGCCTGGCCAACATAGTGAGACCCCCATCTCTAATAAAAAATAAAAATAATAAAAATTTTAAAAATAAACAAAAACAGGGACTGACAACAGAACAGGGGCTGACTTCCTCACTGATGCTGAGTAGTCATTTTCCCCCTTGGGTTCACCTTTTTAAGTTGTCCAACCTATTAGACATTAACTTTTGCTATCAGCTTACATGGCGAACTGGAAATCTCCTTAGATTATACATTAGAGCAACTGTGCCTGCCATAACTCCTTTAACATCTCAAGTACAATTTTTAACCTCAGACTTAGTTTCCCCATCTGCAAAATGGGGATAATACCCTCCCTGGCATTTCACAGGTTGGATTATCTGATTCATACATTAATAGCATAAACTCAGTATTTGTAGAGTTAAATATTCTATAATAAGCCAATTCTATAAAACCCATGACCATTGTGTCCAATTCTAAACAAGCAAACATTTAAGAAAGTAAAAACAGAACAAGAATTTCTAAAATGGAAATCATCCTTCATATTTTTACAGCCCACAATAGTCTTCCTAAGTCTTCACAGCCATCACCTCATTTCAGAGGCAAGAGAGGATAGCAGGTAGGAATGCAGGTCCCCAAACCTGACTACGTTCCTCTTATCCCAGATCTCCAACTTCCTGGCTGTATGACCTGGAGCACATTTCTTAGCCTCTCAGTGTCGCTGTTTACTCATCCATGAAAAGGAGATAACAAAAGTGCACACTTCATACGATTGCTATGAAGATTAAATGAGAAAAGTCACATGAAGTGCTTAGACAGTGATTACTCTGTAAATGTTAGCTACTGGTTCCGGGCTAGACTGAGGTCAGCAAACTTCTTCTTAAAGGGCAAGGCAGCACATACTTTGGGCTTTGTGGGTACAGAGGGAATATCAAGGACATTATGTAGGTACCTATGTGACTATTTTAAAATGTAATAACCATTCTTAGCTGACATGCTGTTCAAAACAGGTGGTGGATTAGATTTGGCCCATGCCTGTAGTTTGCTAACCCCTGGTCTAGAAAAATAATTCTGTGATAAAACAGAGCTATGGGAGAAAGGTGAGCTCCTAGCTTTGATAATCAAACCAAAACAGAGGAAAATTTAAAAGGACATTAATAGCAAGTCCCAGGACAACATAATGGGGATTACATTTTTCCCTTATTAACAGGAGGAGTGGTGAACCTTCTAGCTCTAAGAAATCAGAGGGCTTGGGATAGACAGCCACTGCTGGTTGACAGCAGTAACCTTAAACAGTTCCACATGCCTCCAGTCCTCCTGTATAAGAGGAATCTGCTGTGCACAAGTTAAGTGAAGAACCTTTGTGGTGTGAAGTGGATTTTTCCAAGGTAAGCAAGCCCCAAAGACATCAAGTCACAAGAGGTTACCTGTGGAGGATTCCTCCACCATTCTTTGGAAGTCCGTGCCCATCCAAAAGTAAATAAAAGCGTGCCTGTGCACACACACATATACACACACACACACACACACGATATTCTGCCTTTGAGTCACCAATTCCAACCACATCTGGTTACCTGTAGATTAATCCCGCTCTATGAAGGCATGACTCTCATTAGGGAAACTGATGATATTATGAGACAACACTACGGTCAGTAAATGATCCCCTCGCATTCCTTACACAAGAGGAGGTAGATCAGCTTGTTGGTTCTGGTCTAAATGATAGGCAAAGTTTGGATGATATGCACACCTGTATCAACTGCAAATTAGCTATGTTATTATACCTACGGCAGGGATTACGCTTGGACTGTATTTGTAGCTATTGAAAGGCCTGACCTGCCCAATTCATATGGTCCCCATGACTGAGGAGGAAGTTCCTTTTGCAAGAAATTTCCTAGGGTGGAAAGCGACAGGCACAGGGAAGGCAGCAGGTCCCAGTTCCACAGTGAAGTCGAGTCAGCTTCACTGTACATAGCTGTGCCATCCATGCAAGTTACTGAACCTCTCCAGCTGCAGCTCTCTCATCGAAAATGGGGCTGAAGATAGCACCACCCATCTCATCCATGTGTCTTGAGGATGGCAAGAGCAAATAATGTGTATAAAGGCCTCCGCATAGCGCCTGGCACCCTGCAAGCACCTAGAAATGAGCCTTCATCAGGTGACTCTTCTCTAGCAAATCAGTCTCTCTAGCAGTTAATAGTCAACTCAAGAGACCTAAGTCTGAGCCCTTTACCTCTAAACACCCCCCAAAGCCTCAGTCTCTTCATCTGTCAAGTGGGCACCACACAAATACCCCAGTGGGTCTTGTAGGCTTCAGCAAATGACTTCATAAGCGTCTTGTCAGCCTACATTCACTCAAAGCACTGTCAGCCTGCTCCTGCCTCTGTAAATCAAATACGTATCAATGACAAATACTTATGTGAAAAATTAGAGGCAAAGTACAACTTCCAAAAACAGAAAAGACCTACATCAAAGCATCACCTGATAAATCCAAATACTTAAGCAGATGTCAGCATCTTAGTGAGGACCTCAAAAGTGGGCACATCCCCTGTTCCCACATGCACTTAATAGCTGGTGTTACTTAAATTGCTTGAGTCACATTGCAAATGAAATTGAAACACACCAACCCGTGGGTAGACAGAGGTCTAAGCTCTGACACAGACCAAGATGTCTCTATCCAATGCGGCTTGGGAGTATGGAGAATAAATGGACTCTCTTTCTTTACAGAATCTTAAAACTGGGGATGAGGATTATTCACGGGTGACTGTACTTTATTTTTCAGATGCTCTGTTTCATATCAATATCTGAAATTGCTTTGTAGTCACAATAGTCACACTGGATGCATTTCTTCACCAATAATATCCAGATGTGAAGGGTTTGGGGAAACCCAGGAATCCGCCCCATCCTGGGAGCAGCTGCTGAGCGTGAGGCCCCACTCACCTTCTCATAGGGAATCTGCAGCAGCTCCAGCACCACGGCGTGTGCACCCATGTTCCGGAGCAGACGCTGCTGCTGCTTCCTGCTCTTTCTCACCGAGGCACTCTCCTGAACACAGAGTTTGCTGAGCCGAATCAAAATCTAGTAGAAAGAAAGAAATCAGTCTCAGAAAACTAGGAACTACAGCTGGAAAACAGATTGCAGGGGGTGGTGGTGGGCAGGTAGGCAAAGGGAATAATGCATTAAAAACCTACAACGAAATTCCTTCAGTATGTGGCATTTCTGTTAATTCCATCAAGCCAAATCCATAAGGCTAAGGGCACATCTTCCAGAATAAGCAGGGGATAATGGCTTCAACAACAAGTGGGACAGTTTCAGAGATATCACTTAAAATGGAATGACCTGGCATCATTGCTGAGACCCTGGGAAGAGTTTGCTCTGGGGTAAAACACACAAAGCTCCCAGCTTCCCAACTTTGAACCAGCTTAAGCAAAGGTTTCTAAAGAACTACAGCTCTCAGTGGGGATGCTGTGTGCCAGGCACTTAGATGACCCCTGACAGTTTTCTCAATTAGTCCTTCCTTCAATTGTAAAGCTTCAGAAATATGTGGTGCCTATAAAAGGTAGCACCTATAAACAGTGAGGAAGCTGAGGACACAAATAAGAAGAAGAACAGCTGGGTGTGGAGCCCAGATCTGATGCCGAAATCCATGAGCTTAACCTCTGAGCTCTACTTTCTCCCTGTTAAACCACACGAAGAAAAAAGCTCAAATGTGTGTACCTTCAACCTGACTATCACAAACGAAAGCAGCTTAGAGAATTCATAAAGAAGGGAAATACGGTGGTGGGGGAGGAGCTTACCTCTTTGACCACTCTGTAGTTGTAGCTGCTGGTGCTTTCATGCTTTTGTGACTTGTTATTTCCCTCCTAGGAACCAAAGTGAACACAAGTGTGATCTGTACGACTCATGGGCTACTGTCAGTTTGTTACAGCTAGCATCAACCTTTATGAAAGAAAGGGAGTTCTCCACTGTTTTCCAATAGTCATGCTGGGTTTATGCCCCACTCATCTACCTACTTGATATGGGTTTCCTTGGGAGGGGATAGTGGGCTGGGCCACGGCTAGAGAACAGGTCAATTCCCAAGTGGGTCCGTAAGGGAAACCTGGTGCTAATTCACTCAACGTCGAAGTCTCTTCTACACAGTCTGAGGCTGCACGGGAGACATAGCTAAACTCTGATTCATAGCTTATTTCCTAGGCCAACAGCTGTGATCTTAGCGACTTAACAAGCAGATCTCTTGAAAATAAATCCCATTCTATCACATTTATACCTAAAACCAGAGGAGGATGCTTACTAGTTTTGAGAAGCCCATCCACCTACCTTGGCAGCCTAACCTGTGTTTCACTCACCTCCGTTTTCTTATGTCCATTTTCGCCAGATGCACTATCCATGGTTTCATCGGGGCCCTGCCCTTTGTACACCCAAAGCTCTGACTTTTCCACGATGGACCTCAGTTGATCCAAGTCTTGTTTGATCTGTTTGTAGTTGTCCACATCTTGGCTGGTAACCAGCAGTTGAACCTTAATGAATGCAATCCATTAGGTGCACACAACAGCTTCTTGGACAGACAACACACACGTGGGTGACCTGAGCTACCTGTTTGAAGGCCTGAAGCACCTCCTGCCTCTGGCTGAAGTGTCGGAAGAGGAGCTGCAGGGCCCCTGACACCAGGGGTGGATAGTCATGCATCGTCAGGTGGAGCAAGACACGGAGAAAGGTTCTGCCGCCGTGATCGTCCAAGTCCAGTGGGGTGTTCTCCTCGCTAAAGGAGCACAAGGAGGGGGAAAGACCAGATGAATCACAAATGCCTCCTCTCACGTACCTTGGACCCAGATGCACCTAACCTGGTTAGATTTCTAGCACTATGATCTCCAGACAAGCAATTTCACTTTTCATTAGTCCTTTAACAATACAGCCTTGCTTCATCTTCAACTATATTGCGAGGTGAGGAGACAAGTAAGATGTCATCATAAAAGATAAGTCAAATTTTAAGCCAAAGTCCCTCCCCTCCCAAAGTGACAAGACTAGCATCAGAACCAGATTCTCAACATCTACACAGGGTGTTCTGCTGGGCTTCATCTGTGGTCTGAGAACTGCAAGAGGATGTGTTTCTCTTATTAGTTTATGTAATTTTATTTTTAGAGATGAGGTCTCGCTATGTTGCCCAGGCGAAATTCAAACTCCTATGCTCAAACCATCCTCCTGCCTTAGCATGCTGAGCAGTTGGGTCTGTAGGTATGCACCACCATGCTTGACTATATTAAACATTAATAAGCATATCCTAGATCCAATGGCAGAGTACTCCATAACTGAGCACTGCCAGTCAATTACTGGGTCTGCACCTACATTGGGTTTAGAGTCAAATGAATGACAAACGGTGGAACCTTCATGGTTGCTGGCTAATGAGAAAAGCACAGAGAGGACTTTATAAATACTGTATTCATGCTGTGTATTCCAAAAAGGTGTGAAGGTTTCAGTGCTGTTTAATACGAGGAAAATGGCGGGAGAGCTGAGTGATCACACAGCACATGGAACCTGTATTAAGATGAACTCACACCACCTCGTTTAAGTTTCAGATAAACATCTTTCATCACAGTATACAATGTTGCTAATTCAAATTTCACAGGTTTTACATTAAGCATGAATGTAGACTATTAACACTGGTGGGCCCCAAAAAGTATTCAAACCCTTATGTAGTCCCCTCCCACACTGACACTGAACTTGGCCACGGGATTTGCCTGAACAATAAGATACTAGGAAATGCAATGCAAGCAGAGGCCCAATTAGCACTTGCATACTGTTGGCTTGTCCTCTTAGAACATTTGCTCTTTGAGTCAGCCACCATGCTGTAAAGAAGTCCAAGTTATCCACATGGACAGAGAGAGAAAGAAGTCCTGGCCTTGCAGGCATCTCTGCTATAGTGTCAGAAATGTGAGTGCAACTTGGATGTGCCAGCCCCAGTTACCACCTCACTACAGTGGGACAGACCCAACAGTGACCACCAGCAGAAGAACCATCCAGCTTAATCAAGCCACAGGGCTGTGAGAGGTATTAATAAAATGGTGGTTGTTTGAATCTTTAAGTTTTTTGGAGTAATATGTTGTAAAGCAATAATCAAACCAAGTGTGCTAATTATAAGAACTACATGCACAGGGTGTTTATACCAAATTTTATACTTGTAGGTATAAGGGTTCCATAATTATAATAATATCTTAAGTCAAAATTGACCAGTGTGGTATTTTTTAAAGGGGTTCATAGATGAATATTAGAAATCATGAAAGAACAGATTTTGCTTCTTTTGTTACATACCCTGTAAGGAGCTCAGAGATAAAATTACAGCCCAGCAGCAGGACATGATCTTACTAACTTCACTCTTTTTTGAGTCCCTCTCTCTTTCTATTCCTTCTTTTGATTGCATTTCCTCACTATGTAAAAATAATCTTGTAATGTAGGTATTCTGGGAAATCTCCTTAAATCCTTTCTGTCCTAGGTGGGACACACACACATACACACACACACACACACACACACACACACACACACACACTCTCTCTCTCTCTCACTCTCTCTCTCTCTCTCTCTCTCCCCCTCCTCCCAATCAAGCCAACTGAGATAACTCTGACTTGAGTACTAACAGTTCCAAAGATAGCACCAAAACAACGTAAGCCCAGAGACAAAACATTTACTAACATAATAAAGGGAAGGCCTCTGAGAGCTCTGGAAGAGCAGACTTCCCAACTGTAGAACCACCTACAAAACAGTAACTGAAAATATACTTTCCTTCCTCCAAAGATGCCTTCTGCTTGTTCTTCAATGTGTTCAAAGTCAAGAGCACCTGAAAAGTTAGAACATATCACTTCAGATGCAGGAAGGCCTGCATACATGCTGCCGGTAAACTCATACATAAGTTTTGCAGGGTAAATCTGTTGCGTTAACCCCAAATCTTCCAGGACATTATATTGCAAAGCTATGCAGAGTGACTAACCCAGATGATGTTACCCCCATATTCCACATTCCTGCCCCTTCCTCCCTCACTGCATGGTCCCCTGGTAAAGGAGAGTGATGATCTCACTCATGGAAGCTTGGGTTTGGTAGATGGGATTATTTCTACTACTACCCTCTCCCTTCACCACTAGTTCCTGGACAGGGAACAACTTCCAACATGAGTAAAAGCTGCTAGCGGACAAGAGGTCTCCAGGAGAGTTTTTTGTTATTGTTTTTATTTTGGTATTTTTTTGGGGGGGGTGGGTAACCACAACGCTGGAAACCTCAACTGTCGCGTGATTAAGACACTCCAAGATGGAAGGAAACAAGATCCAACTCAGAAGGAATCTGGGCTCTATCAATTATTCCCCTGCTCAAAAAGAGTAAGTGCCAGGAGGATGCCCTGGCACAATAATCAAAACCATTTTTACCCTTTTTCTAGAAGATACTGTTTGCTCTCCCCCATTTTCCTTAGAGCCAGGTCCCATTCTATGGCTGAAATTCCATTCTGAATCACTAACCTGGTACATTACTTGGCCCTTCTTGGCTGCTGTTTCCGGAGGATGTTTCTGAAGTCTGGGAATTGCTTTCATCAAACTCTCGCTTAAATATACACAGGAGGCAGGAGATCCTATAATCCAACCTCACATTCAAAATAAACTAAAGATTCAAGTGGAAATGGAAACAGATTGGTTACATTAACATACCACCTTGATTCTGCCAAGCCACCACACACTGGCAGGGCCTGGTATCAGCTCCATCAATTACCTTAAGCACTAAGCGAGCCAAATATTTGGCTTAGATTTCAACACTCATTTTAACAACAGCAGACTTCCATGGGGCATATGAAGTCTGCCCGTAGCACCTTAGCCCCTAGTGTAAACTTCAGCATCCTGGCAATTAATTTAACAATTAGAACACTAAATCACTCACTCCTGGCTCCATAAATGGAGTCTATAATAAACAAGACTCCATTTCAAGTAAGTGCTGAATGCCAACTCTGGGCTTAACACTGAGAAGAGTAAAGTTGCCTGCTTTGGATTTAATATAATTAACAAAAAAAAATTTGTTTTTACTATGGAAAATTAGCTTGGTTCCTATTTCCTATTTCTGGTTGTTTCCCCTGGTTTGGGTACAAACCCTTGGACACTCTCTTCTTTTGCCTCCTGTATTCCCTTACCCTCTATTCCAACACAGGGTCACTTTTCCCAGGATTGCTGCTAGAACTGAAAAGAAAGATCGAGCAGCTGACATCATATAGGGATCTCACTCACATTCTTCCTTCCATTCTCCCCTTGTCTCTGCTTAACCCTCCCAGCAACTTTTCCCAGTCCAAGGGCCATCACCTCTTCCAGAGCGAGACAGATCTCTTGGCTGCCTCCATACTCTCAGTGAATGCGTCCTACTGTCTGTTGGACATCCTATTTGCTATCTTCCCAGGGCCTCAAACTCAGTGTTGTACAAAAGTAACCATGATGGTTAATTTTAGATGCCAACTTGACCGGGTCCTAGATAGCTGGTACAACCTTATTTCTGGGTACATCTATGAGAGGGTTTCCAGAACAGACTGACATTTCAATCAGTGAACTGAGTAAAGAAGTCTGCTCTCACCCAGTGTGAGTGGACACCATCCAATCCATGGAGGGCCTGGATAGAGCAAACAGGTGGAGGAAGACCGAATCCACCTGTTTTGGAGCTGGGACACTCATCTTCTCCTGCCTATCAGAGCTCCAGGTTCTCGGGCCTTTGGCCTCAGACTGAGACTTATACCTTCAGCTCCCCTGGTTCTCAGCCTTGGGACTCAGGCTGAATCACACCACTGGCTTTCCTGGGACACAGCTTGCTGTGGCAGACCGCGGGACTTCTCGGCCTCTGAAGAGGAGGGGCCAGCTCATAAACGACATGGAGGGATGAGCTAAGAATTTGTTCCCATTTTCTCCCCAGAAAGCCTTGGGCTCCATCAGAACAGAGGGACTGGATCTGAACAGTGCCCCTGTGACACACCCTCCCTGCCCCAGCTCCAGCTGGTGGATACCTGGAGTATCTCAATGATCTTCAGCTTGGTGTCCATGACCATGATGTCCTCCTTCTCAGGCTCTGCCTGCTTCACATTGCCTTCAGGGGCAGCAGCCATGGGAGTCATAGGCAAAAAGCCTCCGCCCCGGAGCACCACCTGGGTCATCAGCTCTCCCACGCCATGAATAGACCTCATCACGTTACTGCCTAGGAAAGGCCAGGACAGACCACGGTCACCATATCTCCAGAGAATGCTCGGAGGCATCTGTCAAGGGGCAGGGGCTCTTTGAGATAAATTATTTAACATATCCCTATTCCAGCATAATCTCAGGACCCTGGAAACCTGGAAAGGTAAATGCACATCAAAAATCTGGGCTTCTGAGAGCAATAGAAAGATCGTGGACTTCGAAATCCCCAGAGGGGCATTTATGTATATTAACTTGTCCATCAAATTTCATTTTTGCAAATTTTCTTTAGAGACAGGATCTTGTTCTATAGCCCAGGCAGGAGTGCAGTGACACAATGATGGTTCCCTGCAGCCTCAAACTTCTGGGCTCAAGCAATCTTCCTACTTCAACGTCTCAAGTAGCTAGGACTACAGGCACACATCACCACACTCAGCTAATTTGTTTGTTTGTTTTGGTAGAGATAGGTTCTCTCTATATTGCCCAGGCTGGTCTTGAACTCCTGGCCTCAAGCAATCCTCCTGCTTCAGCCTCCCAAAGTGCTAGTATTATAGGTATGAATCACCGTGCCCTGCCCAAATTTTATTGATCATCAACTATGTGCTTGTTATGAGCACAGAACTAGGTATATAAAGTTAACAAGGCACAGATCCTGATGCTGCTTGACCTTAGGTGCCTCATATTACCTCTGAGGCTCAGTCTCCTCATCTATAAAATGGAAATAAAGGAGCTCAACAAAAGAACTAAATGGTATAATGCAACATGACTTAGCATAAGACCTAGCAAATAGAGATAAGTCAATGTACTTTTTTCTGTTCTAGCTGCAGAAGACCAGTTAACAATAATTGATACATGATACCAATATCTGCCGACTCTGACCCTAAAACAGAGGAAGAAATAAACATGCAAAGGCAGATTGTCCTACAAAGTGGAAATAGCTACCAAGATACAAGCCTGAATTTTCTTACATCCTAAACAAATATTATTACCCAGGGCCTCACGAATGTCAAGGACAACGACAGGACATGTATTTGTTATATAAACATTCAAAGCGTTAGGTAACTTTCAAATTGTTCAACAAAATATACACATGACTCACACATAAATACAAAGGAAAGACAGCAAAATGTGAATAACTGTTGACTCAAAGTCATGGGTGCATGGGACTCCATCATACTGTTCTTCCAGCTTTTCTTTACACAGTATTTGAAAATGTTCACGATGAAAAGTTGGGAAGGAATGAGCAAAGAAAGGATGTGGCATCACACATAGGGTATGACATGAGCATAACAGGAAAGGCTGGGAGGGCATCTCTCAGATGTATGGGCACCCTCAGATACTCACTCTTCAGCTTCTCCACATCATTGTTACCTTTATTCTCTTCTCCTTTCGCCATCTTGCTAATGGGGAAGATTGTCGTCACATGCACACAGTCCAATATGGCCAGAAGGATCTTAGTTAATCGTAGAAGGTCAGAGAAGTTGTAGAAACCAAAGTATATGAGATTCCTAGCTAAATTTACAACCTATTGTATGAAATAAAAGAAGAAGATGGTATTACATAAACTGCACCCCCTTCAATTCCATTTGATGTTGACCAGTTTAGAAATGACAGACTTGGACCTTCCTTATGGTAAGAGAAGGCATGTATTTTCCTTGCACTTTCTGATAAAATTTCATTTTGTTTCATAAGGAGGAAAAATAAGAAATGGAGAGCTACTGATCTGCTCTGATGACTAATTAAAAAAAAAAGACCTCATCATCTGCTCTGCACAGCTTCCCAAGGATAATATTAACACAAGGCAAGCAGAGTTATTCCCAACAAGGACACAGGTAATAACATTCTGCAATCCTCAGAAATACAGCTCTTAAAAGGCAAAAGTAGTCTCAGAAACATTGTTAACTCAGAAGTAACAAGGATTTACGTTCTGCAAATGATTAATCTATAGCAGATCGCAAACACAGTGTTTCTCCCTTGTCAGTTTTAATACAAAGTGATGTTCTATCATTTTATGTGGTTCAAGTCACCTTGTATATTTCTTTTAAGAACATAACTACTATTAAGCCATGTGACTGGAACCCGTTTTATCTTATTCTGGAACAAAACCAAGCTGAATTCCTTTCCATTACAAAACCAGAGCATCATGACCAAAATCACTACCTACTCAAATATTTTCTATTTGCCCCATAGAAAAAATGACCACTGACAGGCAGATAATACACACAGATCATTTCATTCGTGAGTTACCTCAAACGTAAGCTTATTTTTCTCCTTATCAGAGAAAGGGAACCTCTGACAAACCACATCTCTTAAATACTCCTCCACAAACTCCATGGTCTGAGCAAATCTCTCCTTAATTTCATCTTTGGAAGCTCCACTACTATCATAGCTGAAAAGAAAGGAGAAAGAAAGGAAACAAAATTTCAAGTTATTCCCAGAGAGGTCTTCCTGGGTCACTCAGCTTCAAAAGTCAACATCCGCTAACCCTTGGTGTCCCTTGACCCTACTTTATTTTTTCCCTCCTTAGCACATATCACCAACTATACATTTGAGTCGTTTATCTTGCCTATTGTCTGTCTTCCACCAACTAGCATAGAGACTGCTTTCTAGCTTGTTCACTGATATATTTCTTGAGTGTGGCACAGAGTACACACTTAAATATTTGTAGAAGAGGAGATAAATGATATAAAAAACATGATCACGCCATCTTTTACATTCTTGAGGAAAAAAATATTTGCCATCCATTTAATTTTATTTTAAGCTAAAAAAACACTTCATCTTTCTTCTAAGATTTAATGAGACTATATGGGGCTATCTACTGCCGCACAGAACAACGTAAAGCGAAGTTTTCAGGGGCCAGGCTCACTCGTCAATGGCAATCTCCGAGGGAATCTCCGACCAGAGGCGGGCATATTTCACGGGGGTGACTTGTTCCTGGGGATCTCGGTCCACATGCATGTGAAGCATGAGGCGGCAGAAGGACGCCCTGAGGTCATAGGGCAGGTTCTCGTCAGACATGCAGCGGAGAATGAGATCGACATCCAGCTGGCCTGAGATTTCATTGATGGCCAGGTATTGGCGGTCCAGACACATCCTGGCAAAGAGGTTCAGCTGATATCTAGAGGAAAGAACAAGGGCACACAGCTCACGCTCCAGAAATCATTCAGGATGAATGCAGGGTTGCCTGGGCAGCCCTGACTTTCATGGGAGTGACATTTAGCCAACTAAACTCATACATCAACACCCCTAAATTGCTCTTGTACAGCAGGATTTTGGCTTTGGTACCAAGCAGATCAAAGAATTGTTCAAGCTGTGCAATAGAGTGTGGGTTGACAGCCAACAGGAACACGTGTCTATCCAGCTGTGTTGGAGCAATTCTGTGACGACCTTATTCCATTAGGTCCTTGTTTACTTTGTAAAATAAATGGGGAATGCTAAGGCCTAAGATGGTTGTCTATTTCTATCCCTTCAGCTGTGTTTCATACAGTAAAGACCATGTAGGAAATGTTAAAGATATCACACATATTAAGCCTACTTAGAAATTTTATAACATTTTAAAGATCTTACATCATGTAAGTCACTCTAATTCCTACACATGTAAAAAAACATTTCATGTACAAAAGCAGGAGACTCCTCACTTTTCGTCTTCATCCAATTGCAAGTGAATGTTGTTAACTGGAACTTGACCAATTAAAGGACTCTTTCTCATTCACTTGGGAGAAGATTCATCAAACATTGAAAGAGTAAACATGCTTGAAATGTGAAATAACAAGAAAGCCATAGGCTTTCAAACTAACAAATATTGCCTTCTAACTTAAAAACCCTATGTATTTCTAATAATCATGATTTGAAGACATCCTCAGCCTCAATAGATGTCAGGGAAATGCAAGTATAGACATGACTCTATTTCACACTTATAAAATTACCAAAAATTAAAAAGCATCATGATATTCAAGGTTAACAAAGATATGAAGAAACAAAGGTTGTCATCTACAACTGGTGGGCGTGTACATTGAAACATCCAATTTAGAATTGCTTAGTAAAGCTTAAAATATGAATATCCTCCAAGCCCACCTCCCAGTGTGGAAAGGAAACTCATACATATGCTCAGAAAAATTTGAATGAAGATGTTTTCTGACATGAAGAACTGTGGCATGTGACCAAATATCAAACAGCGATGAAAATGTGATAAATCAATAAAACAGAATATCATCCAGCAGTCCAAATTAAAGAAATAGATCAACCTCTATTAACACAGATATGCTTCAGTACCCATACTGAATAAAAAATGCAAGTTGTAGAATGATATTTGGAGTACAGTACCATTTATATAAAATTTTAAGTACAGATAAAATACTACATATGATTTATAGATGCATACAAATGTAGCACACAGAGAATGTGGATAGGATGCACACATCACATATGAATGAAAGAAAACAGAATAGAGGAGGCAAGAAAAGCCATTTTATCTGCAAAGTTTTATTTATTTTATTAAAAACTAATAAAAGCCTTGCTTTATCTTCCCTTTCCCTTTCTTTTAAAAGTATTTATTGGTTCACTTCCCTTCTTTCTTCCCCTTCCCTTCCCTTCAGGTGGCAGGGCTGGCAGGTCTTAGAGCTGGAGCCAAGCAGACACTGGGGACTGAGGAGGTGGCCAGCAGAGGTGAGACAGGTACACACAGGGGAACGGGCAGACAGGGAAACATACAGGGAATCACGGCAGCTGGAACGAGTCATGAAATGGAAAAGATGAAGGCTAGAATAAACCCCATGGTGTTGGAATGGAACTGGAAGTATTAGTGTAAGCACATGATTTTTATTATATATTTGTGTAGTTATAGAAATAGGTATGTGGATGAGTATGTAGATATATGTATATACATACATACATCTTCTGGCTCTGTCTATAAACATTTGGTGAGATTGGCACTATCACCTTTATTTTGCAGATAAAGAAATTAGAGCATAAAATCAAACTTGGCCAATGTCAAAAAACTGGTAAGTGGAGAGGTCAGGATTTCACCCCACAGCCTGCCTCTTACGTACCTACCACCATATCTACAGGCCATGCTGCTTAAGGATAAATTGTCACCAGGGACTGATGTGAGCACTCATCCTTCTTGGGACCCAGCCACATCCAGATGCCAATTGACTGAAATCTTACACTCTAAACTCCTAAAATACACATCTGGCTTTTTTCAAGACAATCTCACAAGATGACACCTTGCGATTCCTTGAAGTAATCAACAAACGAGCAACAAATTCCTAAGTGCCACTGTTTTGGGGCAACCCAATCTGAGCCCCACACGTGTCGCACGCACCTGTAGTAGCTGAGAACGTCTCGGTCCTCCTTCTGCCCTTCTTTAGCGTCCTGCGCCAACTCCCTCACACTCTTGCTACGAATCTCTTTGTTGCTGTCCCTCCAAAACAGCCACACCTCTTCCTCGTCTTCTCCTGCCTCCAGAGCATTCTCTCCAGTGGAAGAAACGCCTTCAAACTCAAAACGAGAAAGAACCAACCTGGAAAACAAGAAGAAGGAAAAACTCTATTTTTTAAAATACTTTGATATCTAGCTTCACTTTCAGCATAAAGACACACGGAAAGCCGCTTTTTGTTTTGTATTTCACCCAAGGGCAGAGCCGCAGAGAGCCTGACATTAACATCTTCTTATACCATAACCCAGTGGTTCTTGACTGTGGTGCTGCTGCTCCAAGTGGACATTAGGCAATGTCTCTGGACAGGTTTTTGGTTGTCACAACTGAAATGGAGAGGTGCTACTGGCATCTAAGTGGGTAGGGGCCAGGGATGCTGCTAAACATTTTACAGTGCCTAGAACAGAGCCACAACAAAGGATTACCCAGCCCGAAATATGAAAATACCTAAACTGAAAAACCCTGCAGTAGCCCAAGCCCAAAACTGAGTTATACATGAGAATCAATGCAGTATCACTAGCTCAGGACATAATTTAGTAATTTTTTTTAAATGTTGCCCATATTACTGGCACTATAGTTCTCAGGAAAACTGTTCCTTTGCCAAAAATGAATTACTACTGTTAAGAAAAATCCTTCAGACCAATAAACACATTCTGAAGAGTAATAACTTAAAACTCCTCCCAACAGTGACTTAATCTTAACACTGAATATTAATTATGTCATTTGAAATTTTAGATTGACGGTCACACAAAGAGTTTTAAACTCTTAAAATGTAACTGTGTAAATTGCTCCCCAGTGAGTTTACATGACTTTTAAACTTGTATGCAAAGTAAGTGACACCACTATGCAAAGAAGGCTACATCAAAATCAAATTCAGTAATTCTCCTAATCAAGACTTTTCCAATAGGAAGATCAAATGCCAGCCATGCTGACTTTAGATCAACTCAAAAAACGATAGGGCTAGGTTTTATTCCTCATGAGCGCCAACACGGAATGAACCACATGTTTTCCATATAAACCCGGCTCCCCACTCACTTGGTCTCAATCAGGATGTCAGCATTGGTGGGATTCAGTACAGCTTTACATATTAGCTCCTGGGTCACTGGAATCGATTTGTTCATGGAGACACAGAGGTCGGAGAGGTAATCTAAGAATCTAAACGGAAACAGAAACAAAACATTTTCCGTAGTTAGAGCAGAGGTTAGGCTCCTGGAGCCCAACCCTTCCTTAGGTGCACAGGTCCAATGTATCTTTACCAAGACATGTCAGCAGCATTCTAGGTCTCGATGCCAGTGTTTATGGCACCACCAGAAACCCACATGCTAGAAAGAAGGAAGAGGAAGCAAGAAGGAGAGACAGTAGTGGCTGTGGTCAAGGAAGAGGTGATGAGGCAAAGGTGAGAAGAAGGAACAAGACAAGAAAGAAGCTCACATAAGGAAGGTGTGGTGGAGATATAGGGGAACCACAGTGGTGAGAGGCAATGCCTCGATGTTTGGCTACCCGTGTTGGAAGCCCGGTTAGGATCTTATTAGTGGAGTTCTGCTATGGAGCGTTAATTTGGGGAAATTACTAATTTCACTGTGCTTTAGTTGAGGCTCATCTATAGAAAAGGATAATGTGTCACTTCTGAGGGCTGTCCTGAGGACTAAATGAGATGATTAATGGGAGTGCTTCCATTGCTCACTAGCTGGCCCGTGAGCAGGCTCCAGAAAACGCGGGTTATTTTCATGGGTGTAGTAGGTGTTTTTAAAGCAACTGTGTCTGTGCTCCATTGTAATCATTTGTGACACCCACACTGTAAATTGCTTCCTGCTTCAACTGAAAATGTGGGTCTTAATTAGAAGGACAAGAGAAGGGGAAAGAAATGGGGACAGGGTGTACGAAAGAGGAGTAGATCTGTGTGAATGAGATACAATCAATAGAATTCACTAATCTATAATAAAAATGCTCAACCGACAACTGAACTTGCAAGACTTACTGATTATATTGAGGGAGGGGAGTGTTTAACTGATAAGCAAGGGGTGCTAAAAAGTGAGTGAGGCCAAGTACGGTGGCTCCCGCCTGTAATTCCAGCACTTTGGGAGGCCAAGGTGGGCGGATCACAAGGTCAGGAGTTTGAGACCAGCCTGGCCAATATGGTAAAACCCCGTCTCTACTAAAAACACAAAAATTTAGGCCGGGCGCAGTGGCTCAAGCCTGTAATCCCAGCACTTTGGGAGGCCAAGATGGGCGGATCACAAGGTCAGGAGATCGAGACCATCCTGGCTAACACGCACAGTGAAACCCCGTCTCTACTAAAAAATACAAAAAAACTAGCTGGGCGAGGTGGCAGGCGCCTGTAGTCCCAGCTACTCGGGAGGCTGAGGCAGGAGAACAGCATAAACCCGGGAGGCGGAGCTTGCAGTGAGCCGAGATCCGGCCACTGCACTCCAGCCTGGGAGACAGAGCGAGACTCCGTCTCAAAAAAAAAAAAAAGCACAAAAATTTGCCGGGCGTGGTGGCAAGTGCCTATAGTCCCAGTTACTCAGGAGCGTGAGGCAGAAGAACTGCTTGGACCCAGGAGGTGGAGGTTGCAGTGAGCTGAGATCTTGCCACTGCACTCCAGCCTGGGCGACAGACTGAGACTCCATTTCAAAAAAAAAAAAGTGAATGAAAAGAGTGAGATCCAGTCATTTGCAACAACATGGATGGAACTGGAGGTCATTATGTTAAATGAAATAAGCCACGCACAGAAAGACAAACATTGCATCTTCTCCCTGATTTGTGGGATCTAAAAATCAAAACAATTGAACTCATGGACAGAGAGAGTAGAAGGATGGTTACCAAAGGCTGGGAAGGATAGTGGGAGGGCAGCGGGGAGGTGGGGATGGTTAGAGGGTACAAAAAAAAAATAGAAAGAACGAATAAGACCTACTGTTTGACAGTAAATGGGGTAATTACGGTCAATAATTTAATTGTACATTTTAAAATAACTAAAAGAATAGAATTGGATTCTTTGTAACACAAAAAATAAATGTTGGAGTAGATGGATCCCCCATTCTCTAGGATGTGATTATTTCACATTGCACGCCTCCATCAAAACATCTCATGTACCCCATGAATATATACACCCACTAGGCACCCATTAAAATTAACAATTAAGAACATTTTTAAAAAAGTGAATGAGTGGCCAATAACTGTCATTTACTCTGCATCTACTAAGTGCCATGCATGTCACATGCATTTATTCTAATTTTCATAACTCCCCATTTAGCAGATGAGGAAATTAAAGCTCAGGAAAAACCCAACCTCATCCAGGTGGTACATATTGGAGCTAGGAATGCACCCCCCGGGTCTCATTTTAACACCATGTTCTTGCCACTACTCATCAAAGAGCCTCACCGGACCTAACTAATCAAAACTTGTCACTAGCAGCACAAGAAAACGTAGTAAAAAGCACCAGCTAAGTCCCTGCATCTCAAAGGCACAGACACCATCCTGCATTGGCCCCACTCCCGCCTCACCTGGGCTCCCTGTTCTTTCGCACCAGGCTGACAAATGTGTCAATCTCTGCCGCGGTAATGTGTTTTTCCAGGAGTTTCCGATTATTGTGGAGCAGGGCAGTGATAGTGTCTTCAGCCAACACATCATAGCCAATCTGCTTCTGCATGAAGCCAAACTGCTTGGCTATATACTCCTTTATAGGGAGAGAAAAGAGACGTCAGCAGGAAGGATAAATGACAATATGGTTAAGTGTAGAATAAAGAAAGCAGCAACGTTTCCTGATGAGAACTACTGCTCCTAAGAGAAATTACAGTAGAAGTGAGGGTCTTTCTACAACTTTCTGTCCTAGGGCAACAGCTGCAAACTCCTTCACATCCTTTATTTTACTAAGCCTGCCACACCAATGTAATTAAGCAAAATAGCCTGTATTTACATGGGGATATTTTATTAAGTGCACAGTATAAAGTTTAATCTAGTGATTTATGTTTCAAAAAGGTCCAAAGCTGGTTTTCACCTCTAAATGTATTCCTAATTCAAGAGGACTTAACTGTGCCCCCATTGACCTGCGCTGCTAAATAAACACAGATAAAGCCTACCTGGATATCTGAAACAATGTTACCCTGTTTCATTTCCTTTATTTGTGGTAAAAATACTTTTTTAAAGTCAATGAGTGCATAAGAAGTTCAGGAATACCTAAGAAAATCCATCGTATGCATGGAACTCATGAATACATCTCTGGTTTCTCTCTTTTGGGATCAGAGATCACGTTCCATAGAAATATTTGTGAACTGAAGGAAATCTCTTACAAATACGTGTTTGTTTCTATTCAAAGATGCTTCCCTGGCCAAGAGAGACTGCTTGCTCAAAAATTCAAGTGGCCCTTGAAACTTGCTTTAATTTTTTTCCCATTAATTCCTAAATCCCGGAAACTATTTAGGATTAACATAATGAAAACAGGCCATGTTTTTCAGCCTGTACTCTATAAGGAGGCATTGTTTAGGAACTCATCATCTGCCAGCCGGCAAAGGATCCATAAACAACTAAGCACAGATGTCTAATCCAGCAGTTCCAAGAGGGACTAGTTTGTTTCCTCATGTACAAGCAAAGTATCTTGACACACCCCACAGACCCAGATGTATCCTCATCTGAAGATGGGAGAGAGGAACAGAATAAAATCTCTCTGGCTATTGGATTATAGTATCAATGCACTGAAGGTGAATTTAAAGCAATCACAGCTTGCCACACTTCAAAAAAAGCACTATTCAAGATCAACACTATCTTTATGATGACACGACAAAAACCCTTAACTACAAAGAAAAAAGTCTAAAAGTCCAGGTATAGTGGCAGTCAAAACCTTAAAAACAAAAGCCTTTTGCACCCAAAGGCAAGGATAGTTCACATAAAGTGGTAAGAGTCAAGGTTATAATAAGCATCATTTTGTATGCCTATGGTACTCCATGTGGCACAAATTTTCTAAACCTCAGCACTACTGACATTTTAGGCAGGATAATTCTTTGTTGTGTGGGGATGTCCTTGGCACTGCTGGGTATTTGAGAGCATCCCTGGCCTCCCCTCACCAGATGCCAGTAGCACCAAGAAGTTGTAAAACTCAAAAGGGTCTCCAGACGTTGCCAAATATTCTTTGGGGGACAAAACTGCTACCCCCAATTAAGAACCAATGATGTAGCAATACAGTTCTCAGCTTTCCTTAGAATCTGAAGGTTGTTTGGAGCCCACAAAGAGGTTAGAACATTTATTTCATAGGAGACTATACATTGTGTGTGTGTATATAAATACACACATACTATGTATAATACGTAAAATATAACTATGTATAAGATGTATCTATAAACAATGAATTATAATGTCATAAAACATGAACCAGAAACAAAATAAAGATCATGTTTCTAGAAAGAGATGGAGGATTTTAAAGGTGGCAGGAAGAAAAGACTCCACTATATCTTTAATATAAACACAATGGCATCATCTCACCCCTAAGCCCTAAGGGAATATGCCATTAAAAATTCTATAAATGTAAAACCAACTCCAAAACCAGAAATCTCATAGAAAGCTGTCTGCAGAAGAGAATTCTCCAGTATGTTTCTTAACGATTCGGTAATAATATTATTCCTGGGCTTGTGTTTCCTTCCCAAGAGCAAGCTTAACACTGAACTATTCTCTATCCATTCTATAAATAGATATATGACACTAAAAACTCATGAGGAAAGTACATAAACTTCAGGGAGGAAACTGACGACCACATCCCATCAATGTTTAATCCAAACCTGGTTCTTCCTGTAGTCTTGCTGCGAGTGTCTCAGCACTCTGTAGCAGAGCCGGCAGATGTGTCTGAAAGGAGCGTGCCGCTGGTCCCCAAGCTCTTCCAGCCGAAGCATTGGGCCATCACCGCAGTCTGTGAATGGGGCTTGTAACAACTTGAAGATCTGTTTGTGAAAATGAAAAGCAAAAATGGCAATCACTTAGGGCTTCAAAGCTAAATCTCTGGAAGTAACGCAAGCTCAAGGGTGGCTAGATTGCATCGGAAAGTTTCTCTATCCAAAGACAACCATAACCTGAACACTGCATTCGGCCCATCAGCTGAGACGGGGGACTCAATGAATTAAGTCTACCTGGACTTCACTGGTCTTCATATACCTAACAGCACAGTGTTTATAGAGAAGTGTTTAAGAACACAGACAATGGAATCAGCAGATTCTAGGTGGAAACACATACCTTTATTACCTCCTAGCAGTACACATCACAAAGTAAACCCCCATTTCCTTACCAGCAAAATGGAAATAATAATGCCTGCTTCACAAAGGTATAGTAAGGATGAAAGTGGATGATAATTTTAAGTTGCGCTAGTGCCCAGCACAAGTAATCAATGAAGGCTCCTGCCATGAGTCAGTTATTTTTTGCCTCTCAGGAATTACTACTGTACAAATGAGCACGGGCATCAAGCCAGAGGTCTAATTTGAGAATCATCACATGAAACAACAGCTGGACATTTACTCTTGTACTGGAAATTCTTGTTGAAACATGATGGATTGTTAATAAATTCTGTCTATCGTAGACCAACATGAAAAAAATAATCTCAAATCCCATGTTCCATGGGGAACAGTGGGACTTGTAATGGTTTCTCTTTTAGCTTTGGTGGCCAGGAATTCCCATGGCAAGCTTGTGGGCTAACCTCTAGGTGGGTTACAGAACGACATGGTATGCATCTCTGTGCATTTAATCTACTCTGGATTTGTCACTGTACTGACTGTAATTTGTCTTTATACCAGTTTATTTACATTTACATCCAACAATATCATCTATGTATTTCCTGTCAACAACTACTCATTCTTTATGGAAAGATTTTGTGGTGACTTATAGGGCCCTCTATAAGAGCCTATATAGGCCTTCTGAGTGTATAGAATATGCCATATCTCCCAAATGTATGAAATAACCTTAAGGTCACATTGCACTTTATATTATTTTTGAGGAAAATAAAGTTGTCAACTGAATGTTTCTTGAGGTTCCTAACAGGTAAACTCTCACATGATTGACATCCCACAAGTATGGTAAAAATCAATTGAACTGAACTATCAAGCCATGAACAGACACTGAAGAACCTTAGATGCATATCACTAAGTGAAATTTGCCCATCTGAAAAGGGTACATACTGTATGATTCCAACCATGTCACATTCTGTAAAGGGAAAACAAAGGAGGCAGTAAAAACACTCATGGCTGTGAAGGGTTAGGAGGAAGGACAGATGAATAGGAGGAGCACAGATGATTTCGGAGCAGTGAAGCTATTCTGTATGATATTATAATGGTGCCTAAATGGCATCATACATTTATCAAAACCCATAGAAAATAAAATGCCAAGAGTGAACCCTAATATAAACTATGGACTTCAGGTGATAATGATGCATCAATGTTGATTCATCAAATTGTCACAAATGTCTCACTGTGATGTACGATGTTGATAGTGGGGGACGCCAAGTATGTTGGGGAAAAGGAGATACGGGAATTCTCTGGACTTTGTGCACAATCTTGCTGAGACCCTAAAAGTGCTCTAGAAAATAGTCTATTGAAAAATCAATTCATCAAGCCTTTGAGGTATCACCAATATCCCTTTGAGGGAATCACCAATATCCCTCAATGATCCCATTGATTTCTCTTTTCTTTTTTTTTTTTTTTTGAGACAGATTCTCTCTCTGTCACCCAGGCTGGAGTGCAGTGGTGTGATCTCGGCTCACTGTAACCTCCATCTCCTGGGCTCAAGTGGATCCTCCTGCCTCAGCTTCCCAAAGTGCTGGGATTACAGGCATGAGCTACCGCTCCTGGCCATCCCATTGATTTCTCATAAAGCCAAATCCCCAGTATGCCACATCTCACCAACCTGCTTGAGAATATTCTGTTCTCTCATCAGTTTCTGCCGTTCTCTGTTGGGCTTGGAGAAGACAACTTCAAGAACATCTTGACCAGAATTAGTTCCACCAGTGACAAAGTAAACCAAGTCTTCCAGCAGCTTGGTTACAGACCTTAGGAGGAAAGAAGCTATTAGAGACAGATATGCTCAGTGTTCAGCAGGCTGGAAGCTTTGCCTTGGAAGCCTTCTGGACTAATAAGCCAGTTAAACAGGGGCAGACCCACCCTTTCCAATTTCTTTGAAACTGATAACCAAGGCCAAGTACCACAGAGAGTGAAAGACACAAAAAGAATCATTATCCACAAAAGAATGATCATCTTTATGAAATATCAGACACAAAATTTTATCTCAGAGTACTCATTCCCTGACATTTAGTAATGTGGTTCTAGAGACCAACTTAGAGACAGAAAGACAGAGACAGGTCTTCATCACTTTATTATTATTATTATTATTATTTTTGAGACAGAGTCTCACTTTGTCACCCAGGCTGAAGTGTAGTGGTATGATCTTGGCTCGCTATAACCTCCACTTCCTGGGTTCAAGCAATTCTTCTGCCTCAGCTTCCGAGGAGCTGGGATTACAGGCACCCACCACCATGCCTGGCTAATTTTTGTATTTTTAGTAGAGACAGGGTTTCACCATGTTAGCCAGGCTGGTCTTGAACTCCTGACCTCAAGTAATCCACCCACCTCAGCCTCCCAAAGTGCTGGGATTACAGGTGTGAGCCACTGCGCCTGATCTTCATAACTTTAGAGAGTCAAAAAATGAATGTAAAAGTACTATTTCTTAAAAGTTACAAATTGAAGCCACCCATAAATGCCAAGGCCTGCTACCCCGTGTTCAGCTGACCAGAGTCACCATTCTCTCCCTCCACCATGGATGTCAGAAATTCTCAGTGGGGGAGGACGGCTGTGCTGAGCACATGGGAGTGCTCACCTCCTTTCATTCTGGGTGATGGTGCCCTTCTCCAGCTTCCCAGCAATGGAGCCCAGCACCTTGCTGGCATCATTGGCAAAGTCCAGGTCCCGAACTTCAGCAGGAGAAACGGGAACTATGGCAAATGCTTCCTTATCCTCCTTCACAGGAGAGGTGCCAATCTGAAATTCAAGGTGGTCCTTGTGAGATAATCTCTTAGATGGGAAGGGTAAGACTTTAATCAAACACTACATTTACAAGACATTGGCTGATCCCAAGATACTGGAGCTATCTTGCAGTTAAAATGACACAGGAAAAAAATCTGTAAGGATGTACTCCAAATGGTTAACAGATGTTATCTCTGGAAATTGGTATTATGGGGACCAGTGAGGAAGAAAAGGGGCACTACTATCATTTTTAACTTCATTTGTTACAGGGAGCATGTCAGATTCTCATATTTAAAGAAGATGTTTGTAAATATATAGAGAAAAAGCAAACATGGAAAATGGTAATTAATGACTCTAAGTAAGGAGCATTATAGGATAGACACTGCACCATTATTTCAACTTTTCTATAAATCTAAAAATGTTCAGTAAAGAAGTGAAAAATTCCAATAACCTTCCCCAATGCCACAACAAAATAAAAGTTATATGAGAGCGTCCCTCCATTTTTTAAAAGAAAAGCCCCATGTATATGTATTTATACTCTGTGAACCGGGAGACAGGGGAAAGGAGAAGTAGGGAGAGAAAGTAAAGGGGCTGAGAGAACATTCATGAAATAAAAGTGTATATTGAAATACAGAGAGGAATAAATAATAGAGATTGGGGAATCAGAATCAACTAGAGAATCAACTAGATACTTGATGTACCTCATGATACAAGAAAACATTCCCCAGCTAAATTATCCTTCAGACAGTCATGAAATGTGGTTGAAATCCAGATAATTGCTCAACCATTAGGGCAGAAGCCATGGAATAAAATTAAAAAGTTCTAGTTATTTCAAAAGCCCTAGGTTTGCTCCACTCAGGTCTCTTGGAAACTATTCTTTCGTCACATTCCAGTTCGGCCATGACCACACTCTCGCCAAAGCAACAAAACTCCACAGCTCCATACTCCCTAATGTGTCCTCAAAGAAGCCCTTTCATTAGGAAACACAAGACCAAAAAGAGACAGGCAAGTCCCAGGACTTACTTTTAGCATCACGGGCTTTTCTTCTTCCTTGTCAATAGGAATATTTGTGCTGTGAACCCAGGTATTAGTACATAGGTGTCTGAGCCGAACATAAGAGTTCCTAACAGCGAAAAAAGGAGGGTTTTAGGAAAATAAATATTGAGGTTTACTCTATAGCCCCTAGTCTAGAATATAATGTATCAAAATATAAATAGGAAAGTGGTTTCCCACTGCATACACTGGGCAATACACACAAAGGGACAAATGGTTCTGGTCCAAGCCACATTCTGATGCATTTACAATAGAAAAGCATTCATAATGACTCCACAATTACTGTTATATGCTATACTTCTAAATATAAGATCATACTCCACGAATGAGTGTTTCAGCATAAACAGAGCGTGAGATAGAGCAACAGGAAGTACTTACGGGGCATATATTAGTGCTTATAATAAGAAATAATAATACAGCAATGATTGAAATTTTCATATGGATCAGTGAAACAATAAATTACATCATAAAATTTCTGGAAAAAAATGAGTATTTACTAATCTTGCGGTAGGGAAAGCCCTTTGAATCATGTGACAAAATGTAAGATTCCTAAATTTTAAAAGTAAAAGATGAATAACTCTCATGACATAGTTTAAATTTTATATCATCTATATAGAAAAAAAAAAAGAACCATCATAAATCAAGTTGAAAAAATATCATCAGAGCCTGGGAAAATAAAAGAGTAGCGCATTGCATTAAAAGGTTGTTACTCTACACACAAAGGGCTGTTACAAATCGATAAGAAAAATATGAATATTGGAAGTGACAATGGGAGAAGGACACAAAGTGGTAATTTAATAATGAAATACAAACGACCAAGAAGCACGGAAGCATAGATTCAACCTCCTTAGTATATGAGTTACACAGGGTAAAACAGTATCATTTTATTGTATCATATTCCAAAGATCTTAAAGACTGATAAAACCCAGCATCAATAAGACCTTAGGGAAGTAAGTCCTATGTATTGTTGGTGAGAGTGTAATCAAGTAAAACTCTGAAAAGAAGTCTAGAACCTTGTAGAACACATAAAATATATCTATCCTTTCATCTACCAGTCCTATTTTCAGGTATTTTTCCTTCAGTGGTGATAGTACAGGTACAAATGAGGCAAACAGATGTTCAACAAAGCATCATGTATAATAATAAAAACTGTAAACAATCTGATATTTCAATAATGGACTTGTTAATAGAATACAATTCTATTATATTCTATTGTTACAATGTAATATTAACATATTACATATTAATAATTATATTAATATATTGTATTAATACAGTATAACAGAACAGTCCAAATATGAACCAGTTAATACAATATTAACTAGTTGATACTATAGTTATTTAAAGATGATTACACTTGACTACATCAGTTCTGTTTTTTTTTTTTCCTTTGGAGACAGGGTCTTACTCTGTTGCCCAGGCTGGAGTGCAGTGGCACAATTTGGGCTCACTGCAACCTCTGCCTCCAGGTTTAGGTGATACTCCCACCTCAGCCTTCCAAGTAGCTGGGACTACAGGTGTGTGCCATCATGCCTGGCTAATGTTTTGCATTTTTTGTAGAGTCGGGGTTTCATCATATTATCTAGCTGGTCTCAAACACCTGGACTCAATCAAGTGATCTACCTGCTTCGGTCTCCCAAAGTGCTGGGATTACAGGTGTGAGCCACTGTGCCAGGCCTGATTACAACAATTATTTAAAATGACAATTGATATTCATTTGTTTGGAGGTATGTATAAAACATAGTATTCAGTTAAAAAATGTTTAAAATAGCTTATGATCCCATCTATAATAAATGATACAGTCATCTCTGTCTGACCAGAGACTTGTCTAAAACTACATAAACCAAAATGTTACCAGTAGCTACCTCTGAATGGTTGAAACACAACTAATACTTCACAAGGGGCCATACGTGTAATCCATGAACAACACTGACATTTCCATTAACCAACATCGCATTGAAGAGTCAGAATTGCCCAGACAACCCTATCTGTCTTAAACATTTAAGATTTTGGGTTCTGCTATGGGACCACTGACTTATGATATGTTGCTTAAACTCTCTGAGCCTCAGTTTCTTCATCTACAAGAAAGAGTGACAGCATTACCTATCTCTCACTGGATTTTTTGAGAAAGATTAAATTATATAACACAAGTGGAGTACTTAGTTTGTGCCTAGCATGCAGTCAGCGCTCAATAAGTATCAGCCATTATTATTAATATTGTTGATTCTGTTAAGAATAAGCTTTTCCCCCCATTTATAGTCTAGTTATTTCCCCTCAAAAAATGCATTCTTAAGCAACAAAACTAAAAGTTAAATTTTAAAAAATAACAAGATTTCTGATCTAACGTCTCAATACTTGTTAATAAAATTACTATGCACACAGTGAACTTTAGGTATTTTATCTTCTAGAATCTTTCTTTTCAATGGTTTATTCTATTTCCATTCAATTTCCTAGTTTCCTCTACTCCTTTCCTTTTTCCCCAAACCAAAGGCTCTCCCAAGGTTTGGGGAAGGAGGAAGGGAGTAGAGGGAACTAGGAAAATTGAGCTACTTGGGCTTAAGGTTTGGCTTGTTTACCTAAATATAGCACTTCTCATTCAACTACTGAGAACTTACCAGTGGTGAGCCATTAAAAAAATTAGTTGCCATACCTTTCATCAAATCCTTTATAAAAATCTAAAAGAAAAGGCAGTAACGATTTGGATCCCAAGAAACCTGGTCAGGCCACCCATACAAGACCTGATTCTTTGGGGATAAGCAATTTTAAAATCATACCTTGGGACAAGGCTGTCGCCTCCACGGAGAGTGGTGGGGTCTAACTCAAAAATGGAGGAGATGTCATTGCCTTCGGGCACAGAGACCAGGGAGTACACCATCTTTTCTTGGGCATTCCGCAACCTACTTCGAGAGGCATCCTGATCAGGGTCTACCTGAGGAGGTAAAGTCATCAAATCAAGAACTGTGCATGCCAAACCCTTCACTCTCTACAATTATTCCACAATCCACAGGAACGGAGAAGAAAGGATCGTGAACATCAGCAGTTGGCAGCAAAAGGACCACAGTTACAGAGCAGTCCTAAAAGATGACAACTGGCCATGCAGCCAAGGATATTTACACTCTACCTCTTTGTGTTGCAATAAAAATGTTCTGGCTGGGAGTAGTGGCTCACGCCTGTAATGCCAGCACTTGGGGAGGCCAAGGCAGGTGAATCATGAGGTCAGGAGTTCAAGACCAGCCTGGCCAAGATAATGAAACCCCATCTCTACTAAAGATACAAAAAATTAGCCCAGGCTGGGTGCAGTGGCTCAAGCCTATAATCCCAGCACTTTGGGAGGCCAAGGCAGATGGATCACCTCAGTTCAGGAGTTCAAGACCAGCCTGACCAACATGGTGAAACCCCATCTATACTAAAAATACAAAAATTAGTTGGGCGTGGTGGCAGGCACCTATAATCCCAGCTACTTGGGAAGTTGAAACAGAAGAACCGCTTGAACTCGGGCAGCAGAGGTTGCAGTGAGCTGAGATCGTACCACTGCACTCTAGCCTAGACGACAGAGTGAGACTGTCTTTAAAAAAAAAAAAAAAAGTTTCAACAATGTGGAGTTACACTAATAGATGACCATGGAAGGAGTGCTCTAGCTGAATTTAAAAAAAGAAAAAAACTCTACACAGGTACACCCATCCACAGGAGCTCAGGGAGAGGGGATTTTCAGGAAACTCATCCTGCAGATTTGATTATCGGTAGCTGTATTCATCTACAGTGACAATTGTCTACTGACAATATGATACAGTGACTTCCCAGGAGAAAAACTAAAACAAAATAAACCTGAATCCAAGTGTTCGTAAGCAGCAACCCCAATGCAGCCAAAAGAAATATTTGAGAAGTCAGCGTAGCCCTGAAAAAGATGTCCATCATTAATTGAGAGGGCTGCTGATGACAGGTCTGGGAAGACGGGCCTCTGCTGCGACATCAGGGATTTGCCTGAGAGCAAAGAAAATCTCTGATAGCGAAGGCTGAGGAACGATGATGAAAACTTTCTCGAGAAACTAGAAAAGCACATTCTAGGCTCAAAAGCCCATTTGCCTACAGAGATTCAAGGAGGGGGCTTAGACATGGAGCCTGCTCAGAAGGGCTTGGCCAGCTCGCTCTCAGCCCGGCAACTGTACATTGGGTGATTTTCCATGTCTAACATCCTTGCAGGATGACATCATCCACCTGCATCTACTGAGGAAGCACATTTTCTTTGTCACTACAGCCTGCTTTTCTTAGGCTGAAGCTCTGCCTCCTTTCCAGACAGGGAGGAAGAAGACTTCACCAGGAAGACAAAGGAATCAAAAAACGGAAATCAAATCAAAGGCAAAGGAGAGAGAATCTAACTTCACGGGGCCTGAAATGCAGGAGCGCAGGGCGATAGCCTGTCAGTTCAGCCGCGACTCCCGACCTCTATGTGTGTTTTTTTAAAAAAGGTTCTTTTAATACCCAAAACCTGTATCTCTTCTCTGTCTCACGCTTTCTCCTCTAATCACTCGTCCCTTTACTTGAACAAATCCCAGACCCTTTATTCTATCTACGCTAAAGGAAGAATCACCTGGAGAGCGACAGAACACTTCTAAAACCTCAGTTTAGGAGCAAGAACTTTGAGTAACATTTGTTCTCTCCTAACCACCTGGCAAAGCACTCCACATGCCACTTTCAAAATAAACTCTGACCCGGTTATGGTTTGAGACACAGAGCTCAGCTACAGGCTGGCAGTTAAGTTTCAGAGACCTGTGGGAGTCAAGAGGAAAATCACAATTGCATTACGTCCACTGTGTCTGGAAACACGACTGAGAGGCAGCGTCCTGACATCCTTTCAGTGTGCAGTCGGCGCCTGCCACCTAGTGGGAAGAAAGGCACATGTGCAGAAGCCTGGCAGAGGAGCAAGAGCCTCTAGTGGTCCTTTTTCTCCCTCTGGCGCCAAGCAAATGTCTTCAGGGTCCTGTATTTAGAAGGACGAGCACCACAAAGCCGAGTGAGGTCCAAGGCAAAAACCACAGGCACTGAAGCTGTTCTTAGGGAAACCAACCAACGACCAGCATATAGAATGAGGCGCCTCCTCTCCCAAACTCAAACAACTCGAGGTTTTCCACCAAAGTTTCCAAACCAAGAAGAGTATGAGGGGGGTGGGGTCCTCCTAGTACTAACACCTTGCCACAGAGGCAGATCTGTGCTGTTGGCCGTGTGGGTGTAGGGTAAGATCCCCTCTCCACACACCCCTCCTCCACACGCAGCCCATCTCCAATCAACATCCAAGTAGCCAGAGTGATGCAGTCTAGATCTGCACCCAAGGCTGCTGGCACATCCGCCTCTCTGATACCAAGAAGCACAAAAACGTCAAAAGACCACTGAACTCTGAGGGAGCCTCAGATGCAGGATGAGTCAGGACCACTCTCAATGGCTGCTTCCTCCTCCGTACCAGGAAGATTCTGAAACCCGCCCTAACTCCTTTTATACGCTGCTGTGCAGCCCAGACAACCTGGTGGATGCAAAGGCACTAAAAAATGCTAATGATCTTGGAGAAGTTGAAAAATGCCACTTGTACAGATGAAGGAATTGAGGCTCAGAGAGGGAAAGTAACTTGTCCAAGGTCACACAGCTCATAAATGGTACATCTGGTATTTAAACTGTGCTCTTCCTCCTGCACAGTAAATGCCAGTCTTCCCTCCCATACCAGGAGGCCAGGAGAGCAGCCCTCTACCCGTCAGAGCACAAAGTTCACTTAGACATCAGCGCTCACTGAAAGGAGCTGCAGCTTGCCTAATCTCAGAGGTAAGACTTCCTCTGTGTCACCACAGACGGCAGCATGGAGACCACCGGATGTCGGCCACACAGAGGCAGCTCCTTCTCTGGAAATAAAGAAGGTGCAAGGACAAGAACCGTCCTCTGAAACACGATGTCCCTGCCAGTCTGTGTTCAAACAGTAACTACATGAACATGGTGCAGAGAAGTTTTGCCACAGAGTTCCTCATGCACTGACAGAGAGTTAAACTAGGTCAGGGTTTTCCAAGCCGTATTAACTGTGGACGCAAAGCTTTCAAAATGGACTCTAGAAATAGGGGTGACCAGGATGAAAAGAAGGAAGGTGAGTGTCGGGTACCCCAGTAGGGAGCAAAAAGGGGAGGAGAGGCTCCCCAGCAAGTCCACAAACTCACAGCAGGAAGGTCTCAGCTAGAGTGTCTTTCAAAGCCAACATTTCACCAACACATAACTAGAAGGATAACCATGACAGCAGAATTCACAACTCTTTCCAAGGACAATTACAATTTGAATTCCCTTCACCCAGTTCCCTTCATTAATGTGCTTTAAGAAAATCCCTCTAATTTTTTTTCAAAATCTTGCCAAAAAAAGAAATAAATACCCTCAATATTACGTTCCAGGTCCACTGAGATCATCATGAGACACACGTCAAACCCAGGAGCAACTGTTTTTCCTTAATCCTAGACCAGAATCAAGCACTCCACAAGAAAACTGTCTTACTTACATCCATCATTTCCATGTAACACAACCACTGCCTTCTTCAACCCATAAATGTGGACACCTGAAGTCCAAAGTGTCTACATATCAGCATTACTTGGCAATAAGGTCTCCAGAGAAAGATACATTTTGCACTTAAAATTCTAAACCATATTATACACTAAAGCCTATTTCTGACCTTGCAGAAATCAAGGACTGATTAGCTGAGTATCTAATCACACGCCAGGTGCACCACGCCTCACGTGTTACCGCCATAGCCTCAGTAACACTATCCACCTCACATACTTATTCCCTGAAAAAGCTGTGTGAGTCATAGATTAAGGTCAATAGCAGTAAGACAATTGGTTTTAAAAGTCCATCTTCTATATGGGGCATCACTGTCTCCAACCCTAGGAGTCTTCCAAGTGATACCAGGAACTTCTCCAACTTAGAAATGGAGACTCCGTTACTACACACAGAAATACCATCATGAACAACAGTTCCTGGACTACTCAAGACACAAAGGACTACGGTGCCTCTCAAGGGAAGCACAGAACATGATCGTGTTTTAAGGGCGCCTAAGGTTTCTCCTTCCCCAGCACTCAGTGACCGCAGTGACAGTTTCTTAAATGGAGCTCCAGATCATTTGGCCGCACCCTACCAGATGAAGACAAGAAAGCTCTTGTCCATACTTACTGAGGGCTGAAACTCCAGGCATTCTTCCTCAAAGTCAGGGTCTACCTGATGAAAAAGAATCATTAGGAAATTAAAACATCCATTGCTTTCTTAAGGACTGGGCCCCACTTGCAGGAGACTTCAAAGCCTGCAAACATCCTTGAGCAGCTAAGAACTTGTCCATTCCCTCTGTTCACAAAACCAGCATGCCACAACAATGACACAGGTCACACGGGTACAGCACACATGGAACATCTACCAGTCACCAAGAGATGGCTCTCAAGTATAGACAGAGGAAGACAATGAATTCACTGGCAAAGCAATAGTTAAAAGCCTGAGATGGATAAAAGATCAATACACAGTCACTGATAATCCTGCTTATTTTTAGTTAAAAATAAAAAATTTAGGCCTCCAGCAAGAGCTACATTAGCCTCAAAACATAGCAGATAATGCCACCACCGCTAGTCTTCAGGAAACCACATAAATCATCTCTCACAGCTGATTAGCTGGGTCTGTAATTCCCTATGGCTTTATCTTAAGTTTGAACTTAGACTTTTTGATCTTCAGTTCTTACATATATCAAAATCACCACTTCATGTATTAGGCACCGCAGGGGGCTGAGCACACTTAGAGCCAGCCTTCCTCGGGTTAGGCACAGGAGCAGTGCTGACACCCACCATCACCTTGGAAATCTCTCAGCGGTCTCATGGGTGGTCCCAGATAACAGTGGGGGTCTTTTGATGCATGACTAGAATCTGATAGAAATATGCATCGTACGTCTCCCAGCAGATTGGAGTAAAACTCAACATCTGTCACACAGTAGGATGGCTCCTTCATGTGATACAAAAATTAAAAGGTAAATTCCTCCTGTCCTTTAGCACTGAGTCTTTTGTCTCCTCAAAAACTCTTCACAGACTTTTTTTTTTTTTTCTTTGAGACACAGTCTTGTTCTGTTACCCAAGCTGGAGTGCAGTGGTGCGATCTCGGGTCACTGCAACCTCCACCTCCCATGTTCAAGCGATTCTCCCACTTCAGCCTCCCAAGTAGCTGGGACTACAGGCGTGCACCACCACACCTGGCTAATTTTTGTAGAGACGAGGTTTCACCATTTTGGCCACGCTGATATTGAACTCCTCAGCCTCCCAAAGTGTTGGGATTATAGGTGTGAGCCACTGTGCCTGGACCCTTCACAGACACTTAAGGTAAAGTTAATTTCTGTGATGTTTTGACATTCCTACAAGTAAAAGACAAGCCACTGTCTATTCCACTAATGCTGTTTTTCTTTATAAGATTACTGTAAGTAATTGTAAGATTATCCACTTCTTTATATGTCTTAGTGCTTCTGGTTCTACATACCATGTTTCCGCTGCAGCCTCAGTCGCTCATGCTAAGTGTGGGGCTGGTAGACAAGACGTGGGAAGGGTAGCATATAAGAGCAAAACGGAAGATAATACTGAAAACCTAGATTGGCATTATCTTCTAACTTACTTTCTCCCCACATCTTGATCAGCACCCCTGTCACCTACTAAAATGTGGTAATCATTTTTGACTCTTCTAGGGAAATGAGGCAGAAAGAAACAGAAAAACAGAAGGAAAAGCAAAGTGACTGAGTGTATTTCCCTAAGCCTTTTACTACACGATGGCTACAGCGGAATGAGAAAAGGTGATGAGATGCGTCAGCCTTGAAAGAGAAAACCACAGGGCTGCTGCTTACCTCTGCTGCCAAGTAATGCCCCGTGGCCAGGTGCTTGAAGCGGAAAAGGCTGTTCCAATACCCTGCTCCGCCCCGACACGGGTCATGCTGGACCACCTGCAAGAATGATCAACAGGAGTCAATGAAACGTCTACCTACACTAGGAAGACATTAAATTGCAGGCATCACAAGTCATAGTTCAGGAGTGGTATTTATAAGGTAGAAAAAAAAAAATCAGCATTTTCAACAAACCCATTGCCAGCCTCACACGTAACACCCAAACTCGAAAGTAAGCAATGTCTCTCCAAAGAAGGCATCGAGTCTCCTAGTTAACATACAATGGTTGGAATAAAAACTTCAATGGTTTTTGGGTTATTTGCCTTAGCCATAATGAAGTAGCAGATTCTGAAATGTTTCTACAAAAAGCACAGCCAATAAAAAGGGCTTTCATGGAGAACTGTTAAAGCCATCCGCACATGTACTCATGCACGCAGGCCTGTGCTCTGAAATGTGAAACTCAGTGCCTGGGCCAATGCATCAGAAAAATAAATGCAACATCAGCTTCTGGCCATGACAGAGTTAACCAGCACTGGTAGTTGGTGCCATAAACAATCAGACACTGCAGAGAATAGATGAAATTGCCATAGACAACTGGAAAACTGGATAAAATATCCCAAACAACTGTGTTCACACATTGGACAACTGGTGGTGCACAATGGTGATCTCTGAGAATAGGAAAACAAACGAGGCCAGCTCGGCTATTGCTCTGATTTTCTACCCAGGGGTCCCCTCTGGATGGCAGCATGAGGAGGAAGAATCCAAGCTGAGGGCACTAAGCTCATGGAGTTAAGGAGACAGATCAAAGTTGAGGGAGACTGAGGCAGCTAGAATTTGTGGGGATGGAGTACTAATGCATACAGAACTACACAGAGAAAAAGCTCTGCAACTCTGCATAGGAGCCTCCCTTGAGTTTTTGGCTGAACATCAGACTGCATATGCATAAGGCAAGACCCTATGAAGCCAAATGAAGAAAAACAAGGAGTCTGAACGCTGAACTTTCCCAGAGCTCACCCAGGGCTGGGAGGAGTCCTGATTCTGAAAAGCCAAAGCAGAGAGATCATGTGGAACACCCTGCGCATTAGTACACACATCAAAGGGGTCCCATCTTGGAAGGGGAGCTAAACTAGCCCCAAAATTAACTCTACACAACACCTGGCTGAAGAAAGCTTGAAAATAAGCCTTCAAAGGAGCAAAGGGATCCTACAGGTCACTTTAGTGTATAACAAAAGAAAATTCAGTACTCTTTAAAGGAACAACAGACTCCACATACTCAACAAACTTGTATTACAATGCTCAGTAAATATAGGACTAGACAAAGAATCAGAAAAATGTGAACCATGAACGCAGGACCTGTCAGACAGTATCAAATGACCCAGCACGTCTGTGGGGGTTGGTCAGGCAGCAGGGTAAACACACAGACACAGACAGACACAAACATACACACACACACACACACACACACACACACACAAAGGCATATCATAATCAGATTAACATAAACCAGAAATAAAAAAGAAAAATCTTTACAGCAGCCGAGGTAGGGGGAGGATGCAAGGCAGAGACATTATATACAAGGAACACATTTTTTTACCCATCAAATAATCACAAACAATGCAAGCCAAAAGACAATGGATCAAAATCTTTAAAGAAAGTAAAAAACTGTCTACCTAGAATTCTATACACAAAAAAAGTCCTCCAAAATGAAGGCCACATGGAGGAAATGGGACTCTGACACACTGCTGGTGAGAATATAAAATGGTGCAGCCATTCACTGTGGAAGGCAGTCTGGCAGTTCCTCAGAAGGTCAAAAATAGAATTACTACATGACCCAGAATTCCACTCCCAAGAGCCTTGAGAACATACATCCACATAAAAAGTTGCATATCAATGTTCATAGCAGCGTTATGGAGGAGCCAAAATGTGAAAACAATCCAAATGCTATTAAATAGTAAATGGGTAAATAAAATATGGCACATCTATACAATGGAATATTATTTGGCAATAAAAAGAAATGAAGTACTGATACATGTGGCACTATGAGCAAACTTTGAACATGTTATCTGGTGTGGTCTCAATATGCGTGTCCTCTCATCATTCATAGGTTGAAACCTACCCCCTAAGGTTATAGTATTAGAAGATCGTTTACATTATACTTCACCTTTGGGAGGTGATCAGGTCATGAGGCCGAGCCTTTATGAATAAAAACAGTGCCCTTATACAACAGACCCCAGAAAGTCCCCTCTCTTTCTGCCATGTGAGGACACAGCAGATGAACCAGGAAGAGTGTCCTCACCGGACACTGAATCTGCCAGTGCCTTGATCTTAGATTCCCAGCCTCCAGAACTATAAGAAATACATTTCTGATATTTATAAGCAACCCAGTTTATGATATTTTATAATAGCAGCCCGAATTGGACTAAGACATCATCCTAGGTGAAAGAAGTCAGATATGAAGGACCACATATGGTAGGATTCTGTTTATATGAAACATTCAGCACTGGCAAATCTATAGAGATAGGAAGTAGATTAGCTACCAAGGGCAGGAGAATGGGGGATATTTAAGGGGAAATAGGGAGTGACTGCTAATGAGCATAATATTTATTTGGGGATGATGAATAAGCTACAGACATATAATGTAAACCCTGGCTCATTACTACAAATACAAATACACGATGTTGTCTTCTCTCTTTTATTTTGAGGGGCACTTGACCTGCCAGAATCCATTTTAAAAAATGAGAGAAAGAAATATTCAATGTCTCCCTAAGCAATTTAGGAGAACAAGGTGAAAAATTGCTTATAAAATGGTATCAACCATGCAAAAATACCCTGTTCATAGAAAAACAGCTCAATGGAAGTAGGCACATTAAGTTAGTGAAACAACACTTCACTTCTGCCCTTGTTTTCTTGATTTTCTGTATTTCCTTAGTTTGCATTATTACTTTAAATTAACTCTGAAAGATGAGAAAGTCTCCATTTTTTTTGTACCAATATCCAAATCACACATGAGAAGTGGTTTTGAGAGACTGTTCTGAATGTAAAAACTCTGTGGTGGGGACCATGCGGGCATCAATCTTCAATGATAAAGTTCAACACCAAATTCTGGCTCTCAAGCAGTTTTGTTTTTTGCAGGTTTTTCTTTGGCAAACAAAAAGTTTTATTTCAGAAACTGAGTTCACCATTTATAAATACACCAAAACATAGTCAATGCAAATTTAGATTAAGCATATGTACAATATTTTAACAAAACAACTTTTCTTTTCTGAGACAGGGTCTCGCTCTGTCACCCAGGCTGGAGAGCAGTGGTGCAATCTTGGCTCACTGCAACCTCCGCCTCCCAGGTTCAAGTGATTCTTGTGCTTCTGCCTCCCAAGTAGCTGCGATTATAGACGTGTGTCATCACGCCTGGCTAATTTTCATATTTTTAGTAGAGACAGGGTTTTGTCATGTTGACCAGGCTGACCTTGAATTCCTAACCGTCAGTGAACCTCCCACTTTGGCCTCCCAAAGTGCTGGGATTACAGGCATGCGCCACCACACCTGGCCAAAACAACTTTTCTAAAAGGTCATAGGCAAATGAGTGATCTATCTCACCTAGAGTATTTAAATAGTTTAAAATGAGAAAATGAACCTTTTTTTAGATGTTAAAGCAAAAACTCTGAAGACATAATTGTTAAAAGAATCTGACAACTGATATTTCATTCTGATGTCTCTCAAGGAGTTTATAATCTAGTAGGATTGACAGGTCCCTGTGTAGACACATACACTAACTAAAGGGCAAATGCAGGTAGAGAAGGGGAAGAAAGGGGAAAATGGATAGAGGGTGGGAATTAACAAAAACTTTATATAGATTCCTTTTTATCATAACTGTGGAAACTTTTCTATACAATGCCCAAGATGAACTTGATTTTTTTTCTTTTTTTTTGAGATGGAGTTTCGCTCTTGTTGACCAGGCTGGAGTGCAATGATGCAATCTTAGCTCACTGCAACCTCCGCCTCCCAGATTCAAGTGATTCTCCTGCCTCAGCCTCACAAGTAGCTGGGATTACAGGCATGCACCATCATGCTCGTCTAATTTGGTATTTTTTAGTAGAGACAGGGTTTCTCTATGTTGGTCAGGCTAGTCTCGAACTCCCGACCTCAGGTGATCAACCCGCCTCAGCCTCCCAAAGTGCTGGGATTACAGGCCTGAGCCACCATGTCCGGCTGAATTTGATTCTTACAATATCCATGTTAAAAGAGTGGTAAGACATTTTTTAAATGGGCAAAATATCTGAACAAACATTTCACCAGAGAAGCTACACAGAGGGCAAATAAGCACATGAGAAAAATGCTCAACATCGTTAACCAAACCCACAATGAAATTTCACTACACACCTACTAAATCAAACGGGGGATGCAAATTCAACCCACATTGCAATTTCACTATGTACCTCCTAGAATGACTAACACTGAAAAGACTGACCATATCAGGCGTTGGTAAGGATGTGGAAGAACTGGAACTCGCACACATGACTTGTGGGAATGTAAAATGGTCCAACCACTTTGGAGAACAGTTTAGCAATTTCTTATGAAGTTGAATATATACCATACCATACCATACCATACCATACAATGGCTATCATATGATCCAGCCAATCCACTGCTAGGTATTTAATCAAGAGAAATGAAGGAAAGTTACACCCATACAGAAACTTTTACACAAATATCCCTAGAAGCTTTATTTGAAATAGCCAGAAATTGGGAACAACTCAAATGTTCATCAACAGGTGAACAGATTAACAAATTGTGGTGTATCCATATGATGGACTATTATGCAGCCATATAAAGGAATAAATTAATCTGATACATACAACAATATATATGAATCTCAAAATAATTATACTGAGTAAAAAAAAAAAAAAAACAGAACATAAAGACTGTATACCGTATGACTTCATTTATACGAAGTTCAAGAAGAGGCAATACTAATTTATGGAGATAGACGTCTCCAGGAGGAAAAAGGAAACACTGCCGGGAAAGAGAGGCTCAAGGGACCTTTTGGGTGCGGCTATCGTTCTATTTCTTGTTCTAGGTGCTGGTTACATGGCTGAATGTATACGTAAAAATTCACTGAGTTGTATACTTTGACTTGGGCACTTTACTGTACATAGGCTAGTCCTCAATAGCAACATGAAACAATTGAAGCTAGGGAGGAGGAGGAGAGAAGGCAAGCAGAGACAAAAAAATGTATCTATTCAAATTCAAAATTTAAACTAGAATTCTAATTCATGCTGCAATTACACAGAAAGGAAGGCTTGAGGTGACGAAAGAGCTCCATGTTAGTTGAAGCTCTCATTGCCTCTTTCACCAAGCATTCAGATCACTTCCTTCTTTATCCTGCAATTCTAGACTCTCCTCACAATAAACTACATGCTGTGGGCAGAATCTTCTAGCTTCTTTAAGTAGCACACTGATTACGTTACTCCCTTCCTCAAACAACTTTCCACATTTCTCTCCTGTCCATAAATGAAATCCCAACTCCCTATAGCCTGGATATATGGCCCTTCAGGCTCTGGTCTCCAAAAACAGTTTCTGTTTAATTTTCCACGCCTATCCCATGACCTTCACCAAACAAGTTACTGAGTTTTATCCTACGCTGCTTCGTGTTTCCACATTCTGCATCATTCTTTTACATGAAGTAACCTACTCCATTCATCTCTTCCTTCTGAAATATAAATCATCCTGCAGGTACCAGATCAGATGCTATCTCCTTCAGGAAGTCTTCCTTAATTCTTCAGCCAACCAGACATTCACCCTCTCTCACTGAAACCTCCAAAGCATGTGGAATATGCCTCTTATCACCTTCACCATCCCCCTGTGTGTTCTAGTTATCTGGGTGCATATCTTCTCATTTCTGCCCCATCGCCAATGTGGGCATCACCTATGTATCATGTCAGGTAGACACTTGGTTAAATATTGTTGTGATAGATAAATGAACAAAGGAAAGAAAACAATAGAAGAGATTAGATGGCTCAGAGAAAGATATTTCTAATTTCATTTTTGAATTTGTTTCCAAAGTACTTACTCTTTCCCTCTGCACAAACATCCAGCACCATGATATGTCATGATGCGCTTACTTCACTAAGCCATCCACAACCCATTTTTGGAACAGGGTGGGTATAAGTACCTGTTTGTGACATATATATATAAATATATACACACACACACACACGTATTCTGTGTGTGTGTATGTGTGTAGGTGTTGGATATATAGGTGTATAGACATATACAGGTATATATATGTATATATATTTGTGGAATATATATAGAAAGAGCCCTTTCTCCACCCTATCCTTACCTCCACCTCCCACAGGGCTTTTGAACTAGTGGCAGATGTGGCCGACTGCCGGCCCGTGGTTCTCAGAAAGACATGCTGCTTCTTCCTGTGTTCGTCACAGGTGAGAAACTTCTCCTGCTCAGCATGGAACAGCCTCACCACGTCACCCTAAAAGTCAACACGACAAAGAATTAAGGAAAAAAGAATTTAAACAGAGAATTAGACTGCTGCCCTCAAGAAGAGTCAAGTAACGCTCAGCCCATAAAGCATCAAACTCACCCCCTTTAATATGTCATCTTTGTTATCACTCCATTTCATGAAAAGGACTATTTTCCAGCTTGTATTGCAGTTGACGGAGTTGACCTGAAAAACAGATTAGAGTTATTTTTTCACGTACCCCTCACAACAACTGTGTCATCCAGCCCCCAAATTTCTCACTGCAGCCTAGGAAGCAGGGCTGTACTTCAGACTAAAAACTCTAAAGATTGATGCCACTAAAATCACAGCACCTGCAAATGCAATTGGCAGAGTTTGGCAATAAATGGTTCATTTGCACCAATCACTATGCACAGTCCAACCATGACTAATGGAACCAACCCTCCTGCCTTTCTGGAATGATATTTTCCGTTTCCTCCAAGTCTCTTGCTCTGTAGCCAGAAAGTAAAGGCCTGATGAAAATAAGTACTTACAAAATGGAATGAGCTATAAAGGGAAAAAAATGAGTCCAGTGTATACACTCAAAAATGTTAATGAGCATTGTTAACAACAGCAGCCATTGTTTGTGCACTAAATCTATGCCAGGCACTAGGTTTAGGCGCTAACATGCACCATCTCCTTTAATTCTTTGCAACACCCTAAAAAATAGGTCTGACCACCACCCCCATTTCAGAGATAAGGAAACTGATATGCAGGGAGACCGGGTAACCAACCTACCATCACAGAGCTAGGAATGGCAGGCAGGATGTGAATCCACATCTATCCCACTGAAGAGTTTGTGTCCTTACCCATCAGACAAATATTTATGTCACAAGGAAGTAACCTCCTTGTATCCTATAATTGCCAATTTAGAGGATAAGGAGATGTATTGCCAAAAGCAAGCTATCACCCTTGCAGAGCTGCTGATAATCTGCAGTGTTCCTTTTTGAACAAATTAGAAAGAGGCATCCTGTATAGGGAGACAAATTGGAAAAAGGTGCTCCTATGGCCAGAAAGTAATTAGTAAAAGGGATCATCTCTGGCTTCACAAATTAAAAAACAATCCCTCAGTGATGTGAGGCTTAGCAAACTGAGCACTAGAGTGAATATCAGCCCGCATCTACTACTCAATACACAGAGTTGCACAACCTTACATGGCAGCCTTGACCCTGGGCCTGTTTCTTCACCTGCAGAATGGGCACCTGCCCCAAGTCATTGCGGAAGTCACTCTCAGCACACGCATGCACTGGCACCAGCCAGACCTGCTCCTGCAGGATACCCATGCCCACAGGCATAACTCAACGTCCTTACCTCATTGCAGCCTGGGTTATCTACCAGTTGATGGCTGCTAGCATGTAGGGGCTGACCAGCATTGACGGGGTTCAGAACAACCTTGTCACCTATGACCACCTGGAAAGGAAAGGAGCAATACAGCTTTGCACAAAACTGATAAGGACTGCAGATTGACCACTGGGCAGTTCTAGGAGACGTATGTGTCTGTGTTGAAGGAGGCAAGGCCTATCCCCAGCAAGTATAAAGATACAGCACACACCATACCTCCCTCAAAAGCTGACCCTGTGTAGAAGGGGTCATGTTTACAAGGTTAAACCTGAATTTTGTTCCCCGAGTGTCACTGATTATACAGAGATATTTCAAAGCCAGTCCAGAGCAGGAAAAAACAAACAAAAAAACACTTCAGTTTAGGGTACCTATATAAATAAGTTTTAAGTAAATTTAAGAAAAAAAAAGATAGAGTCTGAGTAAGTCTTTATCTTTGACAGATAAAGCCACAACTTTATGTTTCTAAAGCAATTACTTTCATATTTTTACTATAACATTTGGAAATACATTTTCTATGATCAGGTCATATATATAGCCATTTAGACTTATATGCATGTTTGTATATTTATAATATATACAATATACTATACATATAACTTAAACAAAAGTTGCCCCCCCCAAAAAAAAAACAATACTTATCATTACGTGGTATAACACAGTCTGATCTTTCTGTTCTATTCCATTTTCAAACAGGATAGTCACAAGCCACTAAATTGATGTCATGGCCCACAAATGGGTCTACACTTATTTTTTGTAAAATACTATTTTAAATTCAAGTCCATCTCATCTTCTCAACTAAGTCATGGCCACACACAGATTCATTTAAAGGATAGGAAAGCAAAGGATGTGCTGAAAATGAAATTCAGAATAAGGCACACTTGTTTTTTATTTTTGGTTAGAGAAGATGGTTTCCTAACATGAAAAACCATCTATTTTCAAGCTTATCACATTTGAGAAGCATATACAATTGAATTTTCTCTAACTCCAAATGAATATAAGTTCATTTGATAAATCCAACACTTTTGGTGAAACCTAAGTTTTACTGGGCTTTTCTTCCTGTTCACAGTTAAGGATCAATTATTTACCAACTATGAGGAAATGGTCTGGTACCACATGTTTCTGGTACATTCCTTATCATATACATACAAATATATAAACATATTTGAACTTCGCAAAGCTTGTAAATTTAAACGGCACTATTAAAAAGTGTCAAAACCAGTTTTAAAGTTAAAGCTGGTTGAGCATTTTGAGACTATTTCATGCTGTTTGAGGCATATTTTTCAATAAAAAGCAGCTATTTTAGAATCATTAACAAGGTCAAAAACATAACTGATAGCATTTAACCACAATCACTGTTAAGTATATGCCCACATAATGGCTGACTAATTCAGCCAACAAATATCAGAACTGCTCTAAGGTTTCCTGTGGCTTTATATACTAGAGAACCCTCGGGAGTGGGCCCTGCTCCAGACCCACTGCATTGCTGAACACGATGGGGAGCCTGAATGCTTCTCAACATAGGAACAAATGAAGCTGATCGCAATTTCTACTCTCCTCCCCTACTATGGGTAGGTTATTTCTCTTCCATCCTCCATCCTTTATTAACTTTATTTCCAAAATAGAAAAGACATTTCTATTCCACTAATGGGTCTGGAATGACAGGGACCCTCTCCAGGACATTAATACGGGAGAGCTGTTTTTGTGGTAAAGTTCCTAAGGCAATGGGCTGTTCATACAATGTTTTCAGACGTCCAGGAGGAAAAACACAGTGACAGTATTTAGGCCACACTTCTCTCCACAGCTCCCTGTTTCCCAAACACTAGTTTCCATAGCAATTCCCTTCTCTTTATGCAGGACGAGGGTCTGGTTCCAACTTTCAAAGTCTCCTCCTTGACTCTAATATACAGTCACACTTGGAAGCACGGCACGGAACACTTTCTAGGCGGAGAATCCGCACTTACGCTGTCTCCAATGGATCGCAGCTTGTAGAATGGCTGAATGTAAAACCAGGACCCTTCATTTCCAGCCTCATCCAATGTGACTCTCATGGCGTTCTTCTCCAACAGAGCGGGAAGCCTCTTATTCACTGTTAGGTATTTATTACTTTTCAAATGCAGGAGCTAAAAACCCACCAAGAGAATAAAGTGAGTGTCAGCAAATCTGAATTTTCTACCATTCCTTCTTTCAATCATATCAACTATGTAGCAAACATTCCTCCCACCATTGAGCTGCTGGTGAAGCTGAAGAATCACAAAGTGCCTAAGGCTGCAGATGATTAGAAAAGGAAGAAGAGAAAAGGGAGCAGAAAGAGAGGGCAGAATACAAGAAAAACTGTCATGTTTTATTTTTCAGCATAGCCTTGGACAAGATGGATGTTGCTCAGGTCAACTGTTCCATCATCAGCTGCCATCTGTCAGTGGGATAGACCTAACCCTGTGTGAACGGGCTAAGGAACTGCAGTGTGGCATGCCCTGACACATAGGTGGAGCTGAGGAAGGCCACTCTGAGCACAGGCAAGAGTTTAAAAAACAAAGCAGGGCCAGGCGAAGTGGCTCATGTCTGTAACCCCAGCACTTTCAGAGGCAGAGGCAGAAGATTGCTTGAGCCCAGGAGTTTGAGACAAGCCGGGACAACACTGGGAGACCTTGTCTCTACAAAATATTTAAAATCAACCAAGTGTGGGAGTACACACCTGGAGTCCCTGCTACTCAGGAGGCTAAGGTGGGAGGATCACCTGAGCCCAGGAGTTGCAGGCTACAGCGAGCTGAAATCACACCACTGTACTCCAGCTTGCGTGACAAAGCAAGACGCTGTCTCTAAAAAAATTAAATAAAATAAAATGCAACCCCTCTGGAGGATTGTCATTTAATTTGGAAGAAAATGGTTTGAATTTCCAAGTACTTTATTCTTGGTTTTCGGGTAACAATTACATGAGCAGTATGGAAAGACTGAAGACCTAGACGGGATATAACGTGTCTGATAGTCAGTCTAGACCAGAAACAGTTGGCCAAGGCTTCCCAACTCAACAGGTTATAAGAGAAAGTGGAAAGGAATATGAAAGACTGCCCAATCCCTTGAGAAATGGTACAACCGGCCGGGCGTGGTGGCTCACGCCTGTAATCCCAGCACTTTGGGAGGCTGAGGTGGGCAGATTACGAGGTCAGGAGATCGAGACCATCCTGGCTAACACGGTGAAACCCTGTCTCTACTAAAAAAACACAAAAAATTAGCCGGGTGTGGGGGCGGGTGCCTGTAGTCCCAGCTACTCGGGAGGCTGAGGCAGGAGAATGGCGTGAACCCGGGAGGCGGAGCTTGCAGTGAACCAAGATGGCACCACTGCACTTCAGCCTGGGTGACAGAGCAAGACTCCGTCTCAAAAAAAAAAAAAAAAAAAAGGAAAAAGAAATGGTATAACCAGAATGAGACTCCATTGCTAATTGCGAATATTCTCCTTTTCACATGGTAACAGATACAGCTGCTAGAAGTGTTCAGAGGTCCTCCAAATCCCCGAACAGTGCTGTTGGAGGTAGAAGAATAACCTGTCTGATTCATAAGCCCCAATGACCCCTAGCTAAAAAGCTAAAATAAACAAGGAAAAGGCAACGTCTTTCCAATCCCTCAACTGATCCCTTGGTGAGTGTCCTCTGGTCCTGCACATATCTGTCTAAGTGCCAGACTCAGTTTGTTTATAAACCAAAGTTACCTACAGGTAGGCCCCAAGATCCAGGGTTGGGGGAAGTAATAATAACTAAGATTAATTACGGTGTATCCACAGCTTATTCTGGGACAGGCACCTCTCAACCATGCTAAAGAGCAGATGCCATTACCATTTCCATTTTGCTGGTAAGTAAAGTAACACATGGCAAGATTTCTTGCCCCAAATCTCACAGTGAGTTACAAAACCTGAATCGGGATGCATTTAGAAGTTTATGTCCTTAGCCTCTGCACCTTTCATCTTCGGGTCAAGCCATATTCTCCAATCTAACCAAATCAGGAAGTCTTGTACTCTGAATTTCAGGGCACTGGCCTGGCTTAGTAATAAAGCTGACACTGAACTTGGAGCCCACCTGGACACTTGTGTCCATTCTGAAGAGGATGGAACTTAAGGAGGAGGAAGTGGATGAGTGGGACTGGCAGGATCTAATCTTCAACCAGATTCTCAAGCTACTTTCACTATTTCAAAAGGCCTAATGTAAAGAGCCCATTTAACCCCAAAAGGTTGCTTTTACCAATCTTTTACTAGTGTTCCTATCTTCCTGATTAGCCCTGCTCTATACCTAATAGCAAGAGAAAGGGGAAGGATTCCTATGTAATTAGTAATGTTTACACAGTGGGCAAAATCTTTCAAAAAGGAAAAAAATGAAGGAAGATCATCAAACGGGTCTAGGTGCTCAACAGTTGGTAACCACTACTCTTTGTGCCTGGACAAATCAAGAAAGCCACATGTTGCACTGGGCTTCCACGAAGACTGGCATGGACCCAGAGAGATCTTCTGAGCAAAACCTGTATTAGCTGTTTCCTGGTTTGTGTTTTATCTCCATGACAAATGTAAAGGCACAAAAGATAAGCAACCCATGAGACCAGACATAAAAACAATAAATATTTTTGATAAGTATAAAATGTATCAAAATGAGAAGTATTTTTTATTTGAAAAGTCCCAAAGGTACAGAATTGCTCTTATTACCTCTGGGGAGCAGCTCTTCTTGGCCAGTAGATAAAAGTTACAGGGAAGCTAATCTTCACCAAATAGGAAGAATTTTCAAGCATTATAAGTTAAACAGAACTGCAACAGCCAGGTTCCTTTTAAAGTAGGAAGCTTCCCATTTGAAGTGTCTGGAGTGAAACAATCAGCCACAGACAGAGAGAAGTAGATGCTCACACTGAGAGATGACCAACCAAACAGCCCAAGAGTCCATCACATCTAACAAGAAACACTAGACTTTTTGCAATAAACTGGCTGCCTCCATGGAGTCCTACCATAAAGGTGTCCAAACCCTGTCTTATGTGTTTGTTTTCCCAGCTGTGTTCTTTGTAACGCTTCAGTTTCAGAAGGGAAGAGACGCCTTGACCTACCTGGATCACATTGCCATACTGGATTACGGTCCCCAGCAATTTCCTGTTTTCTGTCTCATTCTGCTTCTTTTCCAAGTCTGCAGCGTGCTGTGCATTGAGAAGAAAGATTGGTCACAAAGAGGGAACAATGTGTTCTAGCCCACTGCAGTTATGCAGAACAAATGTCGCCAGTTAATACAAGAATCACAGAAATAAGCAAATCCCTGCGTACACACACTGAGGCTTCATGAAATGAGCCAAAGGGTTCAAACAGCCCATCCACTCTGCCTTTGCTTTGCTGACCTTTTTGGCCTCTTTAAAATGTTTTTGTTTTTGTTTTTGTTTTCTTTCTTTAAGGAATTCATGGGTATTTGCTTAGGGTGAGAATAAGTCAAGAGCTGAAATATCTTCAAAGAAAATAGGGTCAGGGAGGGAGGGAAGGAGGGAATTTGCGTAGCCCCTTTACAATTTGTGAAAGTCCTCTTTAAGGCTTTGGACTAAAAGAAGACTGAATTTAAATGCTGGATTTGGGTGGTTTGTGGTTTTGTGAACTTGAATGTGTTATTTAGTATCAGTGAGCCTCCGTCTCCTCCTTTGTAAAATAAGGATAAAATGGTACCTGCACCTCACAGGAACTTCACTGCACAGTACCCGATACACTGTAGCACACATGGAGTTATTAGTTATTCTTGTTAGACATTAATTATAATGTAATCCATTTTTATAATCATTCCCTGAAGGGAACATTATGACCCCACTTTTAAAGAAGAAATTGACTCAAAGTGATTTAAAAAGTTGGTCATCCTTGCATAGCTAGTTGGATGATGGGTAGGAAAGGGATTTGTTATACCATTTCTCTTCTTCTGCGTACATTTGAAACTTTGCTTAATGTTTTTTAAACCACACATTTATTAAGTGGCAGAGATAGTGTTCAAGTCCACATATGGATAAACTGTATAGCTGCACATGAGGCTGGGAGAGGTTATCATTCCAAATGTGACATGCTAGAGGGGACATGGTAAAGTTGAATAGAAGGTTCTAGAATAGTCTGGCAGGGCCACCTTCCTGAAATCATTCACCTGTGCAACTCTGAAAGCACTGTTACCACACTACAATAATGGTGAAGGGCAATGGGCTTTATCCTAGGCAGTCAGCAAACTGTTATCCCAACCCATCTTCCAAACAGAGACTGGTGGAGGGGAAGTAAAATAACTGAGAAGAAATTCAGTATTGAATCTGATGAATGGTAAAACCCTGATGATACGAGTGTACTTCAGAAGGGTTTCGAAAGCACTCTTCCTCGAGTGTCTCCTTTCCTTAGGTCAAGATGCTACCAGGTGCCAGTGGGTCCTATTTCCCAGGTAATGTCTTCATTTTCACAGTCTTCTGGACACGGTCTTGGGTCCCCTACCTACCTGCCTCATCATTTTGTCCTCTCTACTGAATCCCACCAAGCCTCACTCAGTAGTCTCATCACAAAATGGGGACAACGGAAGCCTTTTAGGGCCATTGTAGAGATTAGAGAAAATGTATGCCAGACACATAATTGCCATTTGATCATAAATTTTAATCATTATTATTATACATTAGTTTCTAAAACTAAGAAATGTTCTGACGATTAACATTTCAAAAGGTGACCTAAGTTGGCTGGGTCAAGAACCTTTCTGTTTCCTTCAAATTCAGCATCTGTTCCATTTCTACCTAGAACATAGGTATTTTTAGGAAAGCACATCTTTTGAGAAAAATGAACTGCAGGAAGCAATTCTAAGCCAAAATGAAACCATATTACAGGAGGGGAATGATCCGCACACGTTAGCGTGGATCACTGCAAGTTGACCACATCTGGCATCAGCTCTTTAAAACAATGGCCCATTCAAAACTTCCCTCTCTCTCTTCCAGAATTAGTTACCAGTCTGCTATTCTCAGTGACATAAGGATAAAATCCACTGGGTGCAAGACACATTCAGAAATAATACCAGTGCTTGCAACATGGCAATCTTTGGCATGCAAGTTGCCCTCAGCACAGTTCTCCTGAATCTTTTCTTTCCTCTGCATAAATACTCTCCTTAGCAGCCTCCCACCTCTTGTTCTCCCTAATTTCATGCCTGAGCTTACACTCCCTTTGGAGATTTCTACAGTACCCACAGGTTCTGCAGGTAGTTTTCCAAACAAAACACTGGACTGCATCCATTTGGAATGAAGGCTTACTCTTTGTGGAGAGCCGTTTGTTCTTTCTGCTTAAGAGTTCTCAGCTAACACTGACTGCAAACTCAAGAGGGGGAAAATATCAAAGGGAGAAAACCCAATGGATTCAGTAAAATAAAATACAACATTTTCCAACATGGAAATATGGTTTTTCCTTGTTCAAAGCCCACACAGAAAGGACTCACCCTTAGAGAGTTCTTAAGTAGCATTTCTTGGACTCAAATGATCAAAGAACTCATCTTTAAGTGGAAAAATGCTCGTGAACATTCCCCTTACTCTCAAGAACGTCCAATGGCTTCAGTTTAAGAAATACTCATATTATGTTTCTACCTATGCTTAGAATAAGTACAGTACAAAAACAGCAACCCAAGGGTTACTGGTTTATCTAGAAAGAAATGTCAAATTAGCCGTCAAGAAGGCATATATTCCACATTAAAGACTAATTAAACACCAGCAGCTCTAAAGAGCATGGGCATTTGTCAAAAGACATATAAAAGGCAGGGGAAGAACAGAAAATTAAAACAAAATTGGAGAATAAATATCTAAAGACTTCTTTTAAAATAAAGATACTCTTGGCCAGAAGTGGTGGCTCACGCCTGTAATCCCAGCACTCTGGGAGGCCGAGGCAGGCAGATCACCTGAGGTCAGGAGTTTGAGACCAGTCTGGCAAACATGGTGAAACACTGTCTCTACTAAAAATACAAAAAATTAGCCAGGCATGGTGGCAAGCGCATGTAGTCCTAGCTACTCGGGAGGCTGAGGCAGGAGAATCACTGGAACCCAGGAGGCAGAGGTTGCAGTGAGCTGAGATCGCGCCACTGCACTCTAGCCTGGGTGACAGAGAGAGACTCCATCTCAAAAACAGATAAATAAATAAGACATTCTTAAATATCACATCTAAAACTGTCACAACTCTGTTAAACTAAGAGTTAATACTATTTTAATTGTTATAAAGTTTAATGATAACTGAGCCTTCACATCACCACTGAATAAGTATTACATGTATTAAGCTTATGGACCATTTTAAGAATTCACTTTTCTTATAAGTTCTCTTTAAGAAGAAAACTCCCCATTTCATTTTTTACTAAATGTACAAAGATCAAATTTAATTCATTTCAGTTCACATTAGTCGTTACATAAATCCCCTCACAAAACCAAGTCTGGGCTGGGCGCGGGGGCTCATGCCTATCCCAGCACTTTGGGAGGCTGAGGTGGGTGGATCACGTGAGGTTGGGAGTTCAAGACCAGCCTGACCAACATGGAGAAACCCTATCTCTACTAAAAATACAAAATTAGCCGGGCATGGTGGCGCATGCCTGTAATCCCAGCTACTCGGGAGGCTGAAGCAGGAGAATCACTTGAACTCCAGAGGCAGAGGTTGCAGTGAGCCAAGATCATGCCATTGCACTCCAGCCTGGGCAACAAGAGTGAAACTCCATCTCAAAAAAGACAAAAAAAACCAAGTCTGGTATTTAGACAAAACCATCCATGATTCTTTTAGGTTCAACAGGAGGCAAGGCAATAAGGTAGATGAAAAGGTAACAAGGTACAAACACTACAGGCCACTGATCAAGGCTGTTTCTACCCTTGAAAAGAATGAGATCTGGTTGGTTAAATCCCTCAAGTACATTCCAAGAATGGGCCCTCACTGTAAGATACTAACTGCCTTTCTAAAGGATATTCACGCAATATTGACCAAAAAACTTTTCACTCGATATAACATTAATAATTCCACTTCTAGGAGTTTCTCCTAAGAGGACAACCTGGCATATGCACAAGGCCATAAAACTTTTTTCAGAATGGCAAAGGTTGTCAGGATCCTGAATATCACTCCCTACCTAACCTCTGCCCATAGAGGCTGGTTATCTAAAATTACAGTACTGCCATACAAGGAGGTGACCATATGGCCATTAAAAATGAGGATAGAGGCCAGGTATGGTGGCTTACGCCTATAATCCTAGCACTTTGGAAGGCTGAGGCGGACAGATCATCTGAGGTCAGGGGTTCAAGACCAGCCTGGCCAACATGGCGAAACCCCATCTCTACTAAAAATATCCCCCAAAATTAGCCAGACGTGGTGGTGCATGCCTGTAATCCCAGCTACTCAGGAGGCTGAGGCAGGTGAATCACTCGAACCCAGGAGGTGGAGGTTACAGTGAGCCAAGATCGTACCACTATACTCCAGCCTGGGCAACAAAGTGAGACTCCGTCTCAAAAAAAAAAAAAGAATGACAGAGATTCCAATTTATTCACAACATAGTAACTGGGAAAAAAGCAAGTTAAAGAAAGGGAAGTGAATAGCATACTCCTGTTGATAGTTTAAAATGTGGAGACACAGGAACAGAATAGCGGGTAGGAGAGTAGGGAAAACATCAAAATAAAACCCATGGTTATCTTTGAGGAACACAATTTAGGAATCCCATCAATTAATATTTTTTTGCTTTTCATACTCATATATTTTGGAATTCTCCTCCTAAAATACATGTGTGTAATTTCTTCAAAAACATCTTCATCATGTCTCTGTGTCAAGTACTCTGAATTTTTTAAAGTCACGCCGTGGCTCATGTCTGTAATCCTGGCATTTTGGGAGGCCAAAGCGGGTGGACTGCTTCAGCTCAGCTCAGGAGTTCAAGACCAGCCTGAGCAATGTGGCAAAACCCCGACTCTTCAAAAAATACAAAACTTAGCCATGCACGGTGGTGTGTGCCTGTAGTCCCAGCTACCAGGCAGGGAGGTGGGAGGATCACTTAAACCCAGGAGGTTGAGGCTGCAGTGAGCCATGAACATGTCACTGCACACCAGCCTGGGTGACTGGGTGATAGAGTGGTAAGACTGTCTCCAAAAAAAAAAAAAAAAAAGGAAAGGCATCTTAAACATGTTACCTTTTCATTATTTCAAAATCC